CGTGCTTGCTTAGGACCGTGCAAATCTTTCGGTCGTTTCTTAACCCACTTCCCGTGATCCAATCGAGCTGACATTTTGCACACAGACTCGTTGTGCGTGACAATTGATTTTCGTGAAAATTTTTGTTGCAAAATTTTCCACTTTTTAAGGAAAAAAAATTTCACTAACACAATCATATATTTTTCCTAAACACAGAAAATTATTCAAGAAAACAACAAAAATGTACAATATAAACAATCATACAAAAACTGAAAACCTTATAATCCTTATATACGACTTTCCTTATATTTAATTAAAAATACCAATGTGATAAAAATAAAACTCTTACTCAAGAAAAACAGAAATGAATAATAAAATAAAACCGATGCCACGCATATAAAGGATTTATAGTGAAAAACTTTTACGGGTTAATTTTTAGTCGGCACGAAGCATTTACAACCTTGATCGCACAAAAGCAAAAAATAAATCCTCAACAACAAAAACATAACAGGAATCCCAGCATGCTTTGCATGCTAAGATTAGATCCTACGAAGTGTTTATTCAGTGGGTGGATTTACACTTCTTTCATTCCCAAAGGATGGATGAAAGCCTCTTTAATCTAACATAGTTTTTATTCCACACCCCACCTTTAACATTATCAGATGCTAAAACCTTCCCCCCCCCCCCCATTTAACTTTTATATCACACACACGATGTACCGAATTGAGTATCAGAGATGAACACTGACGGCAGTTGGTTTAAAAAAACAAAACATCGCATTTTCCATTTCAAACTGTACATTAATTACAGCCGTAAAAAGAAGCTCTCTGTTACTAATATGGGCTCTTAAAAATGTTAGGTTTCCATTACCCCAAAAAAGGCTCTAACACTGCCACATTGGCTGCAAAATGTTTGCCCTTAACATGGATCTCAAGGATCATTCATCAGGCTCCCGCTGTGCAGTGGACATGTGCTGATATCGGCATGATGAACGGCAAGGGATTGGTATACTCTTAGTTCTTTCGGTAAAGTCACGTAGGTAAAAAAATGATATTAAAATTAATAAAAAATAAAAACAATAAAACCACGACGTTTCGGAGGCAACACAAGCTTCCGTCTTCAGGTGAAACTGTCACAGCAAAAAAAATCTGTATCAAGTGGAGAGGAAGTCCCAATTGGTCAACAGAAGCGCTCATTCCCATGTATGGCGATGATTAACAGCAGCTAAGGCACGTGACCCAAATGATAATGCATACCGTTGTAAATTGAATCCAGTGCACTGAACTTGCATAATATATATACCCCACTCATCAGCGCATTATAAATGTGTACGGTTGTCCCTTGGAAACTGCTGTGAGGTGTGCAGAAAATGTCGAGTGGTTAACGCGTGAAGTTTCAACAACGCCCTCTTCATAATCAGCGTTTTTGGGTTTAGATCGCGTTATTTATAAATGTGTCGTAACCCTCCACCACCAGACATGGCCAATCAGTAAAAAAGTGTCACGTTGACAAAAGACAAATAGTGCACTGCTTTAGCCCACCGGTGTGTTGAAGCGTGAAACCACAACATTAATAAAATTTTGAGTACGACGTTTCGCTCGTAATTGCATCCAGCATCATCGGGCAATTCGCCAGAATGGTGAGGCTCTGCTCTGTCTCTCTATGAATAATATTGGTTGCGAAAGCCTACGTTTTGCAATGCCCTCTTGTTTAGGAGTGTAACGATTTGACCATGAATATCGATTCTCAAGATCAAGATGGTCAACATCTGAGTGAGTTCTTTCTCAAATAGGCAGCGAGGCGATGCTCATCATCTCCTCGTTACCACCCTGGGCTCGTTGTAGGACATTCCACATTTCTGTGTCGAGGACGGGTCTATTAATATGGACAATCCCGCACAATGCGGTACTTATTTAATTGACCCCAGAGGGATGGTGAGCCAAACTCTTAGTTTTTTCGGTAAAGTCACGTAGGTTAAAAAAAAGCTGATACAGCAAATCTAGCTGTGACGGTCCCACCTGATGACGGAGACTTGTGTTGCCTCCGAAACGTCGTGAATTTTATTTTATTATTTTATTTATATTATTACTTTTATTAATTTTAATTTCATTTTTTACCTACGTGACTTTACCGAAAAAACTAAGAGTATGAATCCTTGCAGTCACGAAAGCTTCAAATCTTGAATGTATTCTTAGGTTTTTTCGGTAAAGTCACGTAGGTAAAACATCAAAATTAATAAAAATAAAATAAAACAAAAATCACGACGTTTCGGAGGCAACACAAGTCTCCGAAACATCGTGATTTTTGTTTTATTTTATTTTTTATAAATTTTGATGTTTTACCTACGTGACTTTACCTAAAAAACCTAAGAATATGAATCATTGCAGTCACGAAAGCTTCAAATCTAGAATTAAATCTTGAATGGTTAGCCAAGTCAAGCCCCCCCCCCCCCTCCAAGTATTAGTTTGAACTCGCAACATTTTTACGAGCCAACTACACTTTACCGTATGCATCAAGCTGAAGGGCACGCATGTGTTCGCCAGTTAAAGAGCCGATGTTGTTAACTTCTCACGAGGTTGCACACCGTGCACATTCACCACAGTGCGAAACAAAATAATGAAATCGAAAGGCGACAGAATTTCGCACAGTCATCCCGCACCACTCGCGTTATTAAGCCTCCGTGTCAGGCCAAGGTTCGCGATGTGAATACAACTTGGAGGTGTTACTGCTGCACACGAAAGGATTATGGTAGTTGTGATGCCCGGTGCAGTATTTGCTTTTTAAGCCTTAAGTTCAAAACGACAACATTCGGTCGTATTCGCAGTCTGCTATAATCCCACAACAACATCAACATCTACTAATAGGGGTTTTCCCTTTTTTCTGGCAACAAAACTGATTCCTTTTGCAAGGAATCATGTTTACATTAACCACAATACTTGCAGTCAAATGCAAACAAGAAACAATACTCTGATAATTTATGCATTGTCTTTGAAACTGATTGGTCCACACCAGAGACATCTTTCTTTAGAGCCTAGTCTCATATGGTGTTCGACCAGATGACGCCAAAAGGCGCACAGTTCAAAGACAACGCACTACCAGAGTAATGAGAGCTTGGGGTGAGCAGCTACATCATGGGACCTCCTTTGCCAGTACCAAAATATACTAATAGGGTTTTTCCCTTTTTTTTCTGGCAACAAAACTTTGTTTGCATTTGACTGCAAGTATTGTGGTTAATGTAAGCATGATTCCTTGCAAAAGGTATCAGTTTTGTTGCCAGAAAAAAGGGAAAAAACCCTATTAGTTTATTTTGGTACTGGCAAAGGAGGTCCCATGATGAAACACCAACATCAGCAACAAAAATGAAGTCATTTACATGCAACGTTGTCGGGGGGTTTACGTAAATGTCTCTATTTAATCTTGACTTAAAGCTTTCGTGACTGCAGGAATTCATATTATGTGGGTGTTTCGGTAAAGTCACGTAGATAGGTTCAAAGAAAATAACAAAAAACGACGACGTTTCGATCGCAACACAAACGATCGTCATCAGGAGGAAAGACGCTCGCTTGTGTTGTGATCGAAACGTCGTAGTTTTTGGTTATTTTCTTTGAACTATCTACGTGACTTTAATGAAAGACTTCCGTGACTGCAGAAATTCATACTCGTTGGTTCTTTCGTTAAAGTGACAGAGACGACGTTTCGGGCGCAACACAAGCGTCTTTCATCAGCTGCTTTCCCACCTGATGTGACTTTACCGGAAGTATCGATGCTTTATTCCTGCAATGAAAAGGGAACGACGTTTCACCGACCCCCACTCCCTCCTTAAAACATGAATCTACCAGAAGTTGACAAATGTATTCAATTTGATGGATACCCATTTGTATGTATGTGTGCTGAACTTCCATCGAGCCGTACGTATCCAACCACGTAGATAGCATGGGTGGAAAAAACCCGATTTTTCCAGCGACAGGCATCGGGTTTTTTTATTTAATACAATTAAACTCGATTTCGGGGAATTAAAACCTGGTTTAATGAATACGAAACTCTGATCCAAGGCTTAGGCTGCTTCCTCGTCGGTGCTGCTATCGTACTCGGGGGGCCGTCGGGCACGGGGTAGTCGTAGAATGCGGTGGGCAGGTTGGTCGTGATGAACACGAGGAGCTTCTCCTCCACAATCGTGGGCGCCAGTGAGTTGCTTAGCTTGGAATGGACGAAGCCCATCGTTGAGAAGTGCGGTTCTGCAATTAGAACCAATTAAACCGGATTTCTCCCAATCTCAGATGATCGGGTTTAATATAAAAAGACAATTAAACCCGATTGTAAAAAACCCGACTGTGCCACCCTTGGTAGATCGTCGGCTATGTACGTGGTGTGTCGCTATCCGTGTCACTTGGAATGGTTGTGAGCAGGCCTGAACTGGCTCTAGGGCAGGAGTCTGGGCAATTGCAAATGTGATTAAAGTAAAAATGTAAATATTGTATTACCTCTGATGTGCACGCTTCATTGCTTATTTACTCTCTCGGTTGGCATTAAAGTAGTTTGTTTCTTGCTCTGGTTGTCCCACCTGATGACGATTGCTTTTTGTGTTGCGATCGAAACGGCGTGATCTATTGTTTTTCTACCTACGTGATTTTACCGAAAGAACCAAAAAATATCGATATCTATATTTAAATTTCGATTTAAAGCTTTCGTGACTGCAGAGATTGATCTTCTTGGTTCTTTCGGTAAAGTCACGTTGAATGGAAATAATAAAATAATGAAAATTAAACATAATAAAATACAATTCTCACGACGTTTCGGCCACAACGCAACCGTCCTCAGGTGAAGAACAGGTCTGTCGGGAAGACAGCGTCTGAATGAAACACCACCAGGCTTGGAAGCGTATATATTTCAGCTGGGTTGGAGGGGGGGGGAAGAGCGCCTTGACAAAGAAATTTGCACATCAAGAAGAATTTAGCATATTTATATTTAGTTAATTTTTCTCTCCCTCCTTTCTTTCCGCCACGTGCTTCCGATGCACACAGGCAGCGGAGAGCGAACACGTGGGCTCAGCGCGAACAACACAAACTGCGTCTGGCGGCCATGTTGACCCCTCCCCGCGGCCACCGCACGCGGCGAGACGGGGACCCTCACGACGACGACGACGATGAGGAGGTGGAGGAGGTGACCGAGCACCTGGACGAGGCTGTGGAGTTGCTCGGTACGAACATTTGAACCTCGTGGCGGGTAAGGGGCCGTCCGTAAAGGACGTCACGCGATTTTGGATGATTTTTGTCACAAAAAGTCAGACCCCCCCCCTCTCAAATATGACGTCACAAAGCTCTCCCCTCCATCCCAGCTTAAATAGACGCTCCAAGCCTGGGGTGTGTCATTCAGACTCTGTCTTCTCGACAGACCTGTTTTTCACCTGAGGACGGCTGCTTGCGTTGTGGCCGAAACGTCGTGAGAATTATTTTTTTTTTATTTCCCTTCTACGTGACTTTACTGAAAGAACCAAGAAGTTGCTTCAAATCGCTTTCAACTATTGTCACTGGAGTGCGTATTCAATGTGGCGCTGCACTCTGATGTTGTAGGAGAAAACATTTATTAAAAAGTCTATTTGATTAAGTAGAACGTGTTGTCTATATTAATTTAAAGTTGCGCATTTTGATGCGACGTCACATTTCTCAAACCCCCCCCCCCTCGTCACACATCATCACAAATGTCTGAATTCTTCCATTACTCGTACGGTACATTTCATTAAAGCGTGTTAAATATTCTTAAAATATTACTTATTAAATCCTTTATATTAAGTGCGCTTGCTTGCGTGCTTGCTTACGACCGTGCAAATCTTTCGGTCGTTTTTTAACCCAATTCCCGTGATCCGATCGAGCTGACATTTTGCACACAGACTCGTTGTGTGTGACAATTAATGTTTGTGAACATTTTTTTTCCAAAGTTTTACACTGTTTAGGGAAAACAAATTAAATATTTAATTACCAATTGCTTAATGGGGGCAGGCAATCATCTGACCCATAGGTGGCAGCCATCTCAAGCCAGAAGACGAGAGGACTCTAGCCGCCACGCATATAAAGGATTTATAGTAAAAAACTTTGTTTTTACGGGTTATACTTATTTTTAGTCTGTTGATGGTCGGCGATGCGGCAATCGACTCATCTCGACGAGCTGTGCATGATGCACCACCACGGTGCGTACGAGCGCTCAGGGTTTCAGCGCTATCGTCCTCACTGCGTTTCGTCATCGCGAAGTAGCACCACCGATTTCGGATTGATTGGTACCCCCAGTCGCGAAGAGTTAAGTACATCCCTGGCAAAAAATTTTGCCCCAGAAATGGTGTCCCAGAAATAAAATATTTCGTATTATTTGGTACCCCAGGGTACCGCCACAAAGAACATTTTAGCGAGCCACCCCAAACCAACCCAGTTTCCGTGCCGGGTGGGGGGAGTTGGGGGTGAGGGGGGTTATGCGAGACGTTAACTCACGAGTTTGGCAACCAAAGTCACGAGAAGAGACGTATTTTTTTCTAATTTGGTGATAAAATAAAGTCAAGAGCCGCGACGCACTGCGACTAACGGCGCGAAGCGGCTCGGTTTGCCGGCGGCGTGCTCAGAACAAGCAAATCGAGCAAAAGCATCACGAGGTGCAGGGCAGCACAGGGGTTGTGAAGAAGATCGGTACGCATCAAAGAACACGAATTGTAATGCGCAAGACAGCACAGGCCGCCTTTGCAAAGCCACTGGTGGAAGATCAAAAAAACTCCCTGGCCAACCCAGCCGCTGCCCCATGTTGTTTCAATCGTAAGGAGGGGGGTGTTTGACCATATTCTTAGGTTTTTTTTTCTTCCGGTAAAGTCACGTAGGTAAAAAATGTAAATTAATAAAAGGGAAAAAAGAAGCAAATAAATAAATAATAAACAATCCCGACGTTTCGGAGGCAACACAAGCTTCCGTCTTCAGGTGGAACTGTCACAGCACGATAGCTGTATTAAGTGAGATAAATTCAAAGAACACAGTATTTGTATATATACTGGTTTAGGGTGACCATACTTCACCAAAGCTGCTTCGTGCGGCCTGGTGTAAAGCTGCCTCCCTAGCACCCATTTATTTTACGTATCGTATGGAAGCGTTTGCAGTATATCAGACGTTGGCCAAGAATCAAACTTAGCCAGTTCGTAGCCACGACACGACGGCCGCTTCCAATTCCAAATATAGCTATTTTAAATCACAAATAAATCAGGAATAATACGAAGAAAGCAATTGATGGCATATCTATTTTCTTTGAATCTCGCTTTCATATCACACTACTACATCTCTGCTTTTTTATACGTTTCTTTAATCTTACTATCTATTGTCTATATTTTTTTCATATCATCTCACTATTGAAGTAGGTCCCACATTTTTTTTGCTGAGAGCTTCCATACGGGCCCAACACCACCACCGGACATAACTCAACCAAAGCAATGCAGAAAACGTGTTCTGGCTAGGTGGGGTGAGATCTGAGGGCTTTATAAATAATTGATTAAGCCAGTGCTGACTGTATAGTTGTGAGTAATTCGGCATAGAGAAAACGTTTGGGAAAAATAATTTAAAAAAATATCCATGTTTTTGCCGGAGGAAACCACCTGTCAAATTCTTCAGCGGTAAATATATTGGCATTGAGATTTGTGTTTCGGGGCACTTCAGTGACTTATATCAGCAAGCCCCTGCAAGTAAAGCGGTGGTGGGTGTGTGCCATCCAACGTACCGCAGTGTAGGGTGACAGTTAACATGATTGATTTGCGATCTTATCCCTCAAGCAACCATAAACGCTTCTCTACATCAGAGTCATCATTGGCCACGGTCAATCCTCTGCTGGATGAAGGCTTCCCTAAGGTGCCACCACCTCTCATCATCACCTCGCAATGCTACAATGCATCCCGCAAGTTAACTGATTTAATCAGTCGCTCTCCTCGGTGGACGTCTTGTCCGATACAATTCGTTCCTTAGCTGCTACTCTTATTATTTGTGACCACCGTTTATTGTTCCTTCCACCGACGTGTCCTGCCAAAGACCACTGCATTTGGTGAATAGTTTTAATTATGTTGTTACCTTGCATACGCTCTCGAATCCATGTGTTCCTCTTTTTAAATCCTTTATATTAAGTGCACTTGCTTGCTTGCTTGCGCGCTTACGACCGTGCAAATCTTTCGGTCGTTTTTTAACTCACTTCCCGTGATCCAATCGAGCTGACATTTTGCACACAGACTCGTTGTGCGTGACAATTTATTTTCGTGAATTTTTTTTCCCATAACTTTACACTTTTGAGGAAAATAATAATAATATTTAATTACCAATTGCTTAATGGTGGCAGACAATCATCTGACGCATAGGTGGCAGCCATCTCAAGCCAGAGGACGAGAGGACTCTAGCCGCCACGCATATTAAGGATTTATAGTGAAACACTTTGTTTTTACGGGTTAATTTTTTCTAAATGTGGGGTGCCAACATAGAGTGATGTTAACTACCTCGCTTGGTATACAGGAGGTTGTAGGTTCGATCCCGACTCCTGACGCCTGATGCTGTATATTTGAAGTTTGCATGTTCTCCCCGTGGTCACGTGGATATCTTTCTCTGGGTCCTCCGGTTTTTCCCTTCACATTTAGAAACATGCGTTTTAGAGTATTTACATTTCTACGTGACGATAAGCCTTTTTGTTGAGCTATCATTTGTGCAGATCGCTTCGGAAAAAGAACCATAGGGCTCAGTGGGCCTTACCTGCTAAATTAAACTATAGAGTTCAAGCATTAATCGCTCTGTGTTTTTTTGTGAAATTTTCAGTTTTGTTAAATATGTTTCGTTCATGATCATGTCGCTCAACCATATGTCCTAGCAGGTAGTTTGCCCTGATTTAAAATTGTTCTTAAAGCACATTGCTGTGATTGTATTATCAAGTTCAGCTGTTCAAAAATAACCCCAACATGCTCTTATCCACCGTTCCAGGTACACAAACTGTTTTTCCGTTTTGTCTCTTGATACATATCCCCAATCCGTGTAGGCACGTGCTTGTATGTGACCTTTATTTTGCTGTTTTTTATGCTTCCCTGTAACACCTAAAAAAGAAAAAAGATAATGCTCCCAGACCATATGAAATATTTCTAAAGATCGTCAAAGAAGTGGCACCTGCTGTTGGAACAAGATACAGTGAGCCTATTCACTGAATGTTTTGCTTGGAAATGCATTGAGAGGCAGAACGAGTTGGAGAAATATTTTGACTGTTGGGAAAAGTAAAGTTGATTTAGGCCGGACACTGCTAGAAGGAAAGATGGCCGGTGGTCAAGACTGAGAATGGAGTTGCAGCCAATAGGAGGATACGATGATGATGATGATGAAGAATGTTTCAAACGCCTTTTAAAAATGTACGATTAACAAAAATGCTATTATATCCATTGTCAATGAATGGCATAATTTCAAACTACATATCCTTCTTGCAACTATCGTCTGTAAGCCACGTGGCGTTTATTTTGTATCTGGAGAGTTACATGTGCCCGTGTGTTTATGTTGCTTTTTATGGTACGTCTTAAAACGTGAAATACAAGCGTCTAACCTCGTTTTATTCCCACACCAGACAACGAGAGTATTTCGTCAGCTTTTGCCCACGTTTTTCTGCCCGTCATTGTCAAGCCCCTTAAGTGTTAAAAGTTGCACGACCTTTAAGAAACGTAACCGCAAGAAAATAAATTTTCACACGAAAAATGTCCAACAGTTTTACGGCAAATGATGCCAGAAATACACCACACTCACAGTTTCAATGTTAAGGATTTCAATTTACTTCTTTTAAGATGTATCCATTGTGCACTCGTGTGTATGTGTGTGTAGCAGTAGTGTGCCGCGCGATGAACCCATCGACCTGACTTCACAACCCCTAGGTCGACTCAGCCTCAAATGAGTCCGGTGTGTTAACAAACATAATCCCTAGGAAGACAAAGGCGGCCGGGCATGGTTGCTATCCACCTACTCCATCGTGCCGTGTTTTCCTAAGTGATCACGTGCCCAAACCGCCTGTTGGAGTGGTGGCGCAGTGGTTGACTCACTGTGCCACGAACTCAGTCAACTGAGTTTCATTCCTGGCCCACAGCGAATATCGGTGGCGAGTGATCTTAGAATCGATTCTGGGGGGCGGGGAGGGGGCACCCATCCCTAAGTCCACTCAGCCTCAATAAACGTGCGGAGCAGTAATGTAAACGTCAGCACTGGGGAGACAAAGGTGGTCGAGTGTTGCATGAGTCACACCCCAACCCCTCGTGTGTGCTGTCTCTTACCCCTGCTCTGGTATACCAAAGCCCTGAGCCATTTGAAGATTTTCAACAAGTGTCCCTCACCAACAACAATAACAGATCATCTTCTTGGTTCGTTCGGTAAAGTCACGTAGAATGGAAATAATAAAATAATAAAAATATGTTGTATTTTTCTTATTTTATTATTTCACTTCTTCGTGACTTTACCGAAAGAACCAAGAAGATGAATCCCTGCAGTCACGAAAGCTTCAAATCGAAAAATAACAGATAATTTTAGGGTGGAGGATGCACAGCTGCTACTACGCGCACAAAGTGTAAAACACATCCGTGGAGCATTTCATAGCTTTGACAATAACACATTGTAAAATGCTGTATTTGAAGATTCAGTTTTCATGCAAAATCCATTTGCAGTATAAAGCATTACAACGTTGAATTCACGGTTGCTTATACATAAACACATACAATATATATATCCACACCATTGCACACATTATGTATTTCCCAAGCAGCCATTATTAATATAGACGGCGGAAGACGCACATAAGTACAGCCTTTGAGAGTAATGTTAGGAGGTGTGCTTATATGCGACATGCGCTTGTTTCAGAAATTGACCTTTGCATTCTCCCCACCAGTGCACTATAAGCATGTGTTGCTTATATCAGAACTGAGCTTAAAAAGCTATGCTTATATCTGGCGTCTACAGTATATTATGTATGTAAAAGTGTCCATCGACGTTCATAAGATAAGTAGGCGTTACACTGGACGAGCAATTCTAAAGGTCCGAAATCACGCTGGGCCCTGTCCAGTCGTGAATATAAATCGGTGCATCACACTAAGTGGGTTGCCAGGCCGCATGTGGTGTGATAAAGTTCTGGTGTTCCCACTGTCTTCCAAGATGTCTGGCGAGCGTGGAAGAGTAGGCCAAAAACACCACCTGGAGTGGCTCTCTAGAGCTTCCTCTGGCGGAGGCCCTGCCAGGTGTGGCATAGCAAGAAATTGCAGCGCTGCGCCTTGACCTTTGCTACCTACACGATGCTACTTATTTGACTCGTATACACATTTGAGGGCCTTTCTGTTACGATTGATATCCTGCATTATCGTGGTGTGGCCTTGGATTCTTGTTGTTGTTGTTTTGCTGCATTGCCCAAGCTTGCATTTGTTGTTGACAGATCGGCAGAAATTCACGTACGAGTGAAATGTGTACTTGTATACTTCAAATCAAGATTCTATGCTTTATATTTGTTTAGTGATATGGTTGACTTGCTTAAAATGTCTCTCTCTCTCTCTTGCCCCTTACTGAACGTCTGTGAAAAAGAGTTTTGAAGCCCATCGGATTCGTCCAGTCTGAATAAAGACTGTGATTCTGACAAGAAAGCGTTCACTGGCACGCATTTACAGTCTACAATCAGATTTTGTGAAATCTCTCCTCTGCAATTCATCTCTTTGACAGAGGATGAGGAGGATCTGAGAAGGGAAGGAGTGTTTGCTCCACGGAGATCAGGCTTCAGAATCAGCAGGGGTCGCATGCCTTGCTCAGCGGAACCACAAGCCAAGGTCAGACTCAACATCTGCTCGCATTGTGCCAGGTATAGTATGCATCTGTGCGTGTGCAAACTCACTCGGCGTTTACACCATTGGAACCTCATTTGCCAGTAAAAAATATGAGAATTGTTTTTTTTTACCCTTCTATCTGGCAACAAAACTGACACCTTTTTTTTACAAGGAGTCATGTTTGCATAGACCACAATACCTGCAGTCATAATGCAAAAAAAACACAACTCTGATAATGTATGCACTGTCCTTGAAGTTGATGGTGCATTGTCTTTGAGTTGTGCGCCTTTTGGCGTCATATGGTCCAACCCATGTGAGACTAGGCTCTAAGGAAAGCTGTCTCGGGTGTGGACCAATCAACTTCAAGTACAGTGCATATCATTGTCACCAGTTTAAAGGGTGAAAACCTACTACTAAATAAATGTCTGTTTATATGTTTGTGGTTATGGTTGTACTTTATTAATCCCTAATATCTGCAATTACATACAATGAAACAAGAAAAGGTAAAAAAGAAAAAAACAGAGGAATGTAATACAATACACTATTAGACATTATTGCTAAAAAAATAAATAAAAAGTCCATCCTATGTGTTAGTGAATTTTTTTAATATTTTAGGAAGGAAATGGCAGGAAATTCGTTTTCAAATTTAGATTTTTTTTCTGGGGGGCTGGAAGATTTGGTCCCCCCCAATGTTGACTCCATGGCTGCGGCCTTGCTCCCTACATATACTTGTTTACAGCTAACAAAAACATCACAACCCTACAGCCTTCATTCTCAGGAAGTGCTCTCTTTAATAACCAGGCTACAGTCTACATTATACACTGCCAGTACACTCACCCAGCTTAATAACCAGGCTACAGTCTACATTATAGACTGCCAGTACACTCACCCAGCTTAATAACCATTGCTACAGTCTACATTATAGACTGCCAGTACACTCACCCAGCTTAATAACCAGGCTACAGTCTACATTATAGACTGCCAGTACACTCACGCAACTTAATAACCATTGCTACAGTCTACATTATAGACTGCCAGTACACTCACCCAGCTTAATAACCATTGCTACAGTCTACATTATAGACTGCCAGTACACTCACCCAGCTTAATAACCAGGCTACAGTCTACATTATAGACTGCCAGTACACTCACCCAGCTTAATAACCAGGCTACAGTCTACATTCTAGACTGCCAGTACACCCATTCAGATTAATAACCAGGCTACAGCCTACATTAGTGTTTTTGTTTTATTATTATTTTATTTTTATTATTTTTATTTTTTATTAACTTTTTTTTAAATGAATCTACGTGACTTTACCGAAAGAACCAAAGAATATAAATTCCTGCAGTCGCGAAAGTTTTAATTCAAAATTTAATCATGAGCGGGTCATTATTTTCGATTGAATATTTAAGATTAACTGCTATCTTGTACTATTTGGTATTGTTTGTGTGTGTGTGTATGTGTGTGTATGTGTTTGTGTATGTGTGTGTGTATGTATGTGTGTATGTGTGTGTATATGTGTGTGTATGTGTGTGTATGTGTGTATGTGTGTGTGTGTATGTGTGTGTGTATGTATGTGTGTATGTGTGTGTATGTGTGTGTGTGTATGTGTGTGTATGTATGTGTGACGGGCGTGGTGCTGGCCACCCACCCCCTCGTGTACCGTTCCGGCCTTCATAGGTGCTCGCTAACAGCACTTGCCCCTACAGTCTGTTAAGGCTAAACGGGGGATCTTTATTATGTATGTGTGTATGTGTGTGTAGTGGGGAGCGGTGGTGTAGCGGTTAGCGCGCTGCGCTATGAACCTGGCGACCCGGGTTCGATTCCTGCTCACGGCTAACACCAGTGACGATTATCTGAACCGGTCCTGGGCCTCCCCTAGGTCGACTCAGCCTTAAATGAGTACCTGGTGCGGTGTGTAAACATCGTCACTAGGGAGACAAAGGCGGTCGGGCGTGGTGCTGGCCACCCACCCCCTTGTGTACCGTTCCGGCCTTCATAGGTGCTCGCTAACAGCACTTGCCCCTACAGTATGTTAAGGCTATACGGGGGATCTTTTTTTGTATGTGTGTGCGGTGATTTTTTTTTCTGACTTCTTGCCAGGCCCCCCTAGCAAAATAGGCTTTTAAACCTCAAGATAGTTTTTTTTTACCTAGTTAAATAAAGGTGAAATAAAATTGTTTTTTTTACGTTTAATTTTGAAGCCAACTTGTTTAAATGTTTACATGGTTGGCAGGATGTGCATTACTTGAATGTGTTGCTTTTCGCGTGTTTTAATTAAAATGGTAATATAATACGAGATCACCATTTTAAAAATACGTTGCATTTTCTTAACGTCAAAAAAAATTACGGCTAAAAATCAATATCCTCTCCTTTTGACACGCTAAATATCAAAATGCTACAATAAAAGCCTCCGAAGAAGCTTTTTTATTATAAAAGTACCCACGCTCGGATGCATGTTTTGCATCTATTTTCAGTCAACATTGTCATTTTGGGGCAAATAAAATAACTTTAAGAAGATTACTCGAAACACCAAAATTGCATTAGAGTCCTTTGATGAAGGCTTAACCGTGTAACCTCACAGCGCTCGCGTGAATTTGCAGGTAGCGAAATGTAATGCGGAATGTCATGAATCCAATTGCATTTCTGGGTCAATTCCCACATGGATTCACGGATATGTTTGCTTGCTTCTTTGACGTTATTCTCCATCGATAATTCAGCAACGTTTATAAATTAGTGATTGTGTCCAGGTCACATTGGTAATTCCTTACTTTATTTTTTTTCACTAAACCGCTGTGTTAAAATCACTGGGAATTCTATTTGCATAGGTTAGACAATGTTTGGAATTCTTACATTTTTGGCTATTTTCACATCTTGATGTGACGAGCTGCATTCGAGTTGTGTAAACACGTTACGCATACAGAGTCGACAACAAAACTAAATGTACATTTATATTCTTGGTTCTTTCGATAAAGTCACGTATTTTATTATTTCCCTTCTACGTGACTTTACCGAAAGAACCAAGAATATGAATCCCTGCAGTCACGAAAGCTTTAAATCGAAATTTAAATATAGATATCGATATTTTTTGGTTCTTTCGGTAAAGTCAAGGCGCTCTTCCCCCTCCAACCCAGCTTTAATATACGCTTCAAAGCCTGGTGGTGTTCATTCAGACACTGTCTTTCCGACAGAACTGTTCTTCACCTGAGGACGGCTGCTTGCGTTGTGGCCGAAACGTCGTGAGAATTGTATTTTATAATGTTTGATTTTTATTATTTTATTATTTCCCTTCTACGTGACTGTACCGAAAGAACCAAGAAGATGAATCCATGCAGTCACGAAAGCTTTAAATCGAAATTTTAATGTAAATTTGTTTTCGTAAATTTTAATCAAGCAAAGGCGCAAACCTGCAATTGCTTGCTCACGCCACTGTTGTTAGAAGGGCCTCCACTCGACTGAGCTCTAGACAGCTCCCTATAGAGGGTATTTCGCCTCCTCTCACACACTGGCCAGACTTCTTGCAAGAGGCGGGAGTAACCCACCCTTGACCCCACTACACGCAACCTTACGATGGACTAACTGGTGTATCCATTTCGATTTAAAGCTTTCGTGACTACAGGGATTCATATTCTTGGTTCTTTCGGTAAAGTCACGTAGAAGGGAAATAATAAAATAAAAAAATTCTCATGACGTTTCGATTGCAACACAAGCAATCATCATCAGGTGTGAAAACCACAGCAATAAATTTTTGTTCAAATTTTTCATTTTTTTTCACATTTTCTTGCTGAAAGAACCAAGAATATGGTGTATCCATCTTCATGGTATATCCATTTTTACTGCTGGATGGACGGAGGCAGTGGGGCTGGGGGGTTTAAGAAACCTGCCGCATTATGTTAACTGCCTCACCGGGTGATCAAATCGAGTTTAGTGTACTAACCATGACACCATGGCAGCATCCCTCATCTCACCGCATGGGTAACCTGAAAGTTATCTTCATGGCAGAGTTTAGCAGAGATTAAAATGGATACACGTTACACAATGGGGCTTGGTAAGAGCTGATGAGGCCTACATTAACAAATATCGTGTGGCTGAGTGAACACTTGAGGGGTAAATGGAAACTATGTTGGTAAAGGACATGCATGGAAAATAAAATGTAGAGTGAATTGTTTAGAATGATTACCCATAAATACCATGCACTGTCATGAAACTAGGAAGACATTTAATCTTGAAGAGATTCATGCGTATTTATCTTCCTACCATCCGGTTTAAACCAAACGTGTTTTCAACCAACCAGTTTATTTCAATTTGCAGTCAAATTGTGGACGTTTATTCTCGGTTATTTTTAAAGTAATGTGGCCATTTATCTTAGTGGACTCCTGATGTATCAAACGATTGCGGTTTATTTTGTTTACAAAAGAGCTGGCAACCATAGATATAACATGCATGGGCATCTTAGTCCATTAATAGTGAAAAAGAGTTTACACTCTACACTGAGAATGGCAGCAATAAATAAAGCCCATAAAAACCCAGCATTGCTCTACCTTATATAGAGCTGAGATTCATAATGACGATAAGAATGCCATGATGAAAAATAAAAGCAATGGATGGAACATCTTCATAAATTTTAAGACAAATTGTGGATAACGTTTATTAATAACATTTCAGTGTTGTTATTTTAATATGTATCTCAACCTAATAGCATGAGTAAAGCAACACTGATCAATTTCGTTATCTGTAAAACGTTTCCATTCTAAAATGCTTTTATACAATTTGGATGGCCCTACTACAGCGATTGGTATATACAGGTAGTCGATATTCATTTAAAATATTACTGTGCACTCAATACTCATGTACAAAAGCACTATAAAATTTCAAATTTGGTTTTCACGGATTACGGCTGCAAAAACTGACGTGTTACATTACCATACTTGCTTGCGAGTTTAAAGAGTGCAGTGATACGTTGCAGCAATTGTATGGATGTGCATATTTGAAAATCATAGCTTGGATATGTATTTTACATTATGGTCCTGTTCTGTCTTCGGAATATATATTTTGCGGTCAGGCTACAGGGAGTGGATGACCTAAGAGAAGACGCAGAAACCTCTATTCCAGGTCCTGCTTCGTTCATAGAAAGTAAGTTGCATCATACACAGAATTACAAGACCGTTGATTGTCAGAGACAGGAAACAAAGTTGCTTAACCAAATGTCACACAACATCAATAATAGAGTTGTTTTGGGTTAGATCGCGTAAGTATATAAATGTGTCGTAAAACCCGCCACCACCCGACACAGCCAACTAGTAAGGGTTGTCACGTAAAGAGAACGTGGCCAATTCGGCACTAGTACAGCACACCTGTGTGTTGGTGAGTAAATCCAAAATATTTACAATTTGAGTTCGACGTTTCACCAGTGATTACAACTATCATCAGGCGACAGCCAGGTTTGTGGAGAAATCTCCCTGTTTTGTTCTTAAATAGAGGTATAAATGTGATGTCGTCACCTGTGAACGAAACGAATCGATACTACTGGTATTGGACCGTCTTCATAGCACGTAAAATGTATGTGCTGTGAAGATGGGCCCGGAATGTCGCCTATTATTATATTTTTCTTTTGACGCAGTCTTATTAACAAAAGTGTAGATATTTTTTTGCGTGCTAATTGTGCTTGTTGTACCCTGCAAGTGCAGCATCAACAAAAACGTTGTATTATCTATAAAAAAAAATTAGGATTTTATGAAACGACAACTTAGACCCATAACAACGCCTTAGGTGATAGAATAACCAGAGGCGGACAGTCTATATAAGATGGGGGGGGGGGGGGGGTATTATAGTATAGTATTTAAAAAACAAAATATGTGTGAGTCTGTGCATATTTAGATTTATCTAGTGAAAGCGTTTATCACCAACTGCTCATATTGTAGTGCGTTAGTGTGGGTGATAAACACCGTTAAATAAACACTGTAATATTGTTCCCTGCCAAACCACACAATGGAAAGTGTTGTACGTAACAATTGTGCATTACAATCATCTGAGATGTATAGTGTAGTGTTGATAGGACATGTGCCCCCCCCCCCCATATCACACAATATTTGCTCTTTCCAAGTAAAAAAAATAGTCAGCAATCAGCCTTGGCACAGATTTCACATCCAGCTTCCATAATATATTCAGATTATCTAGGCCCCTGAGAGATGTGTGGATGAAACTATATGGACAATGATGTTTTTAAACCGTTATACCCTATACTCTTTGGTTATTTCGGTAAAGTCACGTAGGTAGAAATAATGAACCCGTAAAAACAAAGTTTTTCACGATAAATCCTTTATATGCGTGGTGGCTAGAGTCCTCTCGTCCTCTGGCTTGAGATTACTGCCACCTATGGGTCAGATGATTGCTTGCCACCATTAAGCAATTGGTAATTATATATAATTTTTTTTTCCTAAAAAGTGTAAAATTTTTGAAATATTTTTCACGAAAATAAATTGTCACGCACAACGAGTCTGTGTGCAAAATGTCAGCTCGATTGCATCACGGGAAGTGGGTTAAAAAACGACCGAAAGATTTGCACGGTCGTAAGCGCGCAAGCAAGTGAACTTAATATAAAGGATTTAAAAAGAATAGCTCACGACGTTTCGATCACAACAACAAGCGACGGACTTCAGATGAGAGAATCAGACTGCTGTGGACCAGATGCATTATATACCCTATTTATTCCAATGCCTCTATTTCGCGGTGGTTTATTTTATTTTATTGAGGACTTGAAGCAATATGGCATCCTCCGCTGAACAGATGCAAGTTGTGTGAAATAGCCTCATTTGCATTTGAAGTCTCAGCAAGATTTACATTCATACTCTTTGAATCCTTGCAGTCACGAAAGCTTCAAATCTAAAATTAAGATTTAAATTGGCATAAAAAAACTGTCACGGGCAAGTGAGCTGTCACCGGGCTCCAGATGCTTTGAGTTAAAAAAAAATCCCCGATTTTAATGGGTACCATTGCATGAGTGGGGTGGAATGAATGTTTGAATAAGTATAACCAGTAAAAACAAAGTTTTTCACTATAAATCCTTTATATGCGTGGCGGCTAGAGTCCTCTCGTCCTCTGGCTTGAGATGGCTGCCACCTATGGGTCAGATGATTGTCTGCAGTATTAAACAATTGGTAATTAAATATTTAATTTGTTTTCCCTAAACAGTGTAAAATTTTTGAAATTTTTTTTCACGAACATTAATTGTCTCGCACAACGAGTCTGTGTGCAAAATGTCAGCTCGATTGGATCACGGGAAGTGGGTTAAAAAACGACCGAAAGGTTTGCACGGTCGTAAGCAAGCAAGCAAGCACGCAAGCGAACTTAATATAAAGGATTTAAAAAGTGAGATATTCTGGTGAGGGCACCATTCTGGAAAACTTTTAACTGCTTTGTTACAGAATCCGTCTCACTTGAGCTTGTGAAGGGCACTCTTAAAGATACAGAAACACGGCATCCAACGAGCAGCACACAGGTACTTGATGACAATTTATTTCAGAATGTTTGTTCTTACATTATAGACGTTTTTTTTTATGTTACCCAACATCTGTTTTGCAATAATTAAAATCCAAAACGTTGTTTATCACCTAGTCTGCCTGCTGGAAATTACACAGTTTTATTGATTACCTATTTTCCCAGCTGTTCATCACAGCATTTCAACTGCGAAATGCCATCGGTGTGCGATTAAAGTATTTTTTTACTCCTGTCTGCCTTAAAATAAACATTGTTTTTACATCCTACAGTTAATCTCATGTTTCCATTTGCCATGATTTCACTGGTGGCAGAGAACCGGACTTGTTTGCTTTCTTTATTATTTGATTGACTACATTTGATATATATATAGATGTCCCATATAATCCCATGGTGTGGCCGTGCATGACTAATTATCATCAGGCTGTTTGACCACAGGCGTATGAGTGTTGCAGTACAGTACAGACAGATAATCTTTCACAGCCACGTTTAAAGTTGCCTGACTGGATGTACTGAATTAATTGGCAACCAGATTTTAACATGAACATTTTCATCATTTTAGGTGTGTCATTTCGGCTTTACAACTGACACTTGTAAATGCTACAATAGCTATGACAAGTCAATTCGAATTGGAAATGTAAATATAATAACGTTGAAACATGAAATACGGATGACTGTAACATTTAATCGTAATAAATAATGAAGCTACTTGGAGTGATCTTTACAGAACCAACAGTTGCTCTAATAGTATAATTATAAAAGCTCATGTTTACATTAAATGCATCCAGGGATTGCAGGCGGACTTCCGCTTGGCGAGATGTTAACTACCTCGCCTGGTATACAGGAGGTCGTGGGTTCGATCCCAACTCCTGACGCCTGCTGTATATTTGGAGTTTGCATGTTCTCCCTGTGTTCGCATGGATTTTTCTCCGGGTCCTCCGGTTTGTCCGTCCACATTTAGAAATATGTGTTTAGAATATTTGGCTGCTATACATTTCCACATGATAAGCCACTTAATCGGGTTATCATTTGTGGCCAATTCGCTTCTGAAAAAGAGCGATAGAACCCTGGTAAAATAAAAATAATAGTTTATAGATTAGCTTAAGGAGATGTAAAAAAGAAGCTGGTTCACATATGCTGGGTGGATTGTTCTGTCGCAGATGCATGAGAGGTGGTGATGGCTTCTGGAGGCCTTAATTCAGGAATGGGTTGAGTACGGCTGATGATGCTATAGCTACTGTTATATTTCGATTTAAAACTTTCGTGACTGCAGGGATTCATCTTCTTGGTTCTTTCGGTAAAGTCACGTAGAAGTAAAATAATAAAAATAAAACATAATAAAATACAATTCTCACGACGTTTCGGCCACAACACAAGCAGCCGTCCTCAGGTGAAGAACAGGTCTGTCGGAAAGACTGCCACAACGTAAGCAACCGTCCTCAGGTGAAGAACATGGCTGTCGGAAAGACAGTCGGAAAGGCAGTCTTTTCGACAGACCTGTTCTTCACCTGAGGACGGCTGCTTGCGTTGTGGCCGAAACGTCGTGAGAATTGTATTTTATTATGTTTCATTTTTATTATTTTATTATTTCCCTTCTACGTGACTTTACCGAAAGAACCAAGAAGATGAATCTCTGCAGTCACAAAAGCTTTAAATAGCAATTACATTAGTTTTCGTCTGGTTCATTTTAATTTGGAAGCTTACAGATTCGGAAAAGTGTATTTGTTAAAAAAAAAATATCCTGTTACAAAACCACCCTAAATACGTTAGATCTCATCTAATATGAGAGACTTGGATGGGTGACCACCAAGGTGGAGCAGGTATGGTCAATGTGGGACTGCAGAAAGGTGTAAGTGTCAGTGGTGCCCCCTCTTAGGCATGGGGAGGTTTCTCCGGTTCTCTGCGGCGGTTTTGAGCCACATTCCAAATCTTAATTCGTGGTGTATTGGGTAAAGACCATGAGGCAGAGCTCTCCTGAAAAAAGAGTTCAGATTTATTAAGGTAAATTCCTTTGCCTTTATGTGTTTAAAAACTTAACCAAAAGACATGTAGCAAATAGCACGTCATATATGTGTCTGCAAGCAACTCATCGGGCGTGAATTTGGTGAATGATGGATACAATGTTATCATTTGAATCACTGTCCGAATGTATATTCAGAATCTATACATTTAAAACGTGGGTCTGTAAAATATTTATACCGATATTGTGTGGCATATAATTACGAGGAGGCAATGGGGCTTTTAAGACAACATAAAAACCATTGAATTGCAGTTATGCCCAGCCAGACCTGTTCCCGTTTCCAAAAGTCATCTAACCGGTAAGCGGTTTGCACATTTCATTTTCTTTTTGACACTGCATTCATTCAAAATCCAAATTCATGCTTTTTTTCAAATGTCTGATGAGGCAATGCATTAGTGACGAATAGCATCGACTTACTTAATTGGGGAAAGTTACAACTGTGTAATTATCCAACCATTACTTGGTCATATTGAATGATAAAGGCGTTAAGACGTTCACCAATTACTAACCATCGTATATGCATAAGCACGCATAATTGTGGTAAATGCAAATATATATTTTTTATATATTATCATTCTGGTGAAAAGATTCCATAGTTATCATCAGTCATATCCGCTTATTCTGCCATGTAATGTCTATCGATTTTAACCGTGGTAATATTTTTAGGAAATATACACACTTGCAATATACATAGACCACTTATTGTATAACCACTTATTTGCGATCAATTTGTTACCCAAATCATCTGCAACAATTGCAATGCATAAACATTTAATTTAAGCACACGCTTCAATTATTTAATTTGAAAAGTTAAGAACGCTAATCAATCAATTGGCACGTAGTGATATTTATATCTTTATAAACTTGATAATTTTTAGGAGGGCGGAGGGATAACAACAATTGTACATATGTGAAAAGAGCTTCATAGCTCATCGGATTACATCGGTATAAATAAATATTCTGATTCAATAATAAACTAGCACGGTATCACTACCTGCCAATTGATTGATTAGCGTTCTGACCAATGAACCTACTCTTCACCAGTGGCTTAAGGAGTTTCACGACGACATTCATCATCAACTATTAACATGAGCTTCCTCAAAGCATGAAAGTCTTACGCCACTGGTGACGAGGAGGTCGAAGGTCAGACATCAATCAGTACATTGGCCACGTATTTAAATAATATCTTGTTAAATGTGACGTACGTAGCCAACCGTGCTAATCGTAGGTGCTTATGGGTAATTACATAAAATGACATAGAATGAGAGAGCCGGTTGAGCGATGTCGATAAAATTATACAAACATATGCTTGGTCTCGATTTAAAGCTTTCGTGACTGCAGGGATTCATTTTTTTGGTTCTTTCGGTAAAGTCACGTAGAAGGGAAGTATTATGTTTTATTTTTATTATTTTATTACTTCCCTTCTACGTGACTTTACCGAAAGAACCAAGAAGATATGCTTGGTCGTGTGCAGACTTTATTGCATGAGCCTCATCCCTGGAAAGACTGATGTCTGCCATGGCATTGGCGATGCACATCAAATTGAGATTTGACAGATGACCTTGGTGTTTGCAAACATCTCGAGTGTGATCATTTCAAAAGCTTCTGTTATAAAAAAAAATCTGTCAAAATGTACAGATCTAAACGCATATGCGAGGAACATGTTGCCACGTTTTCAACAGCTTATCCGATCAGGTGGCTCATGGGCAGGTCGAACGGCTCGCAAATCAGAAGGTTGCAAGTTTCCATTTTGGGGTGGATAAAATTGCTACCACTTTGTGAGAAAGTCAACGGTCGTTTTTTTGGTTCTTTCGGTAAAGTCAGACGCTGTCTCCCCGACAGACCTGGTCTTCACCTGAGGACGGCTGCTTGCGTTGTGGCCGAAACGTCGTGAGAATTATTTTATCATGTTTTCTTTTTATTATTTTATTATTTCCCTTCTACGTGACTTTACCGAAAGAACCAAGAAGATGAATCCCTGCAGTCACGAAAGCTGTAAATCGAAATTCAACGGTCGTTGTTCTTTGTGTAAACTCGCTCCAACTATATTTAGGCAGAATTTACATCACAGGCTCAGTACTATAAGCAGAAACTGAGTGTCATTCATGCTCATTTGAGCAGAAAATCACTTTGATTTTGACTTTCACCACGCAGTTCAAACTGCTGTCTAATTACAATAATTTTATAATGAATGATACCACTACAGACACCCTATATTACAAATTAACAATTTGATTTCATTACAGATATTACATATTGGCGTGATTTTAACTAAATATTTAAATATTACAAAATAACTAAAACGTTCTCTGGACACAATTTGTATTTCGTTCAGTGGCAATGTCAAGGGATAATGATTAAATAAGAAAAACACAAAACGGCGTTGTAATTTTAGGTTCATGGAGCTTGTGGGACTATGATCAGACTAAGTCTGTGTGGCACAAGACAGACACGTGCATCCTCTTCTAATTGTCTAATAGCTAGGCTCGCTCTGTGTGCTCTGCATACAACATAGGCAATGCTGTTATGCAAGCCAATGGAGCTGTTATCGCAATGTCAAAAATAAATTTCGAATAAATTTCTCAATGATCACAATACAGAGAAATTGTCTGCAGATGATTATAGATTCATATGTTTAGTGTGCAAGGGAGGCTATAAGGCATAAATAAGGCAGCCTGTAAGTTAACATCTTCTATAATTCTACCAAAACATGCACAAAATACATTATGATCACGTTGTTTATGAAAGTTCATGACCTTATATATGAAAGCCTAAATCATTGCAATTAAACGCAATAATGAGTTCATTAAATAAATGAATAGGTGGAGGAATGCAATTGCTGGCAGGAAAGCCTCATCTCATGGGAGCTCTGAAAGAGCCCCTTAGGATAAATACTTAAATAACAAAGCAGCTAAATTCAGACATTTGTCGTGTTCAATGTCGAACTCAATTTCACTTTCTTGTATCGAAGATGTTTGCATTTCGCCCGGTGGAGTGTCTATTCATAGTGTCTCGTAAGCGTCGCTTACCATCACGTGCATGGCGCTTTTGCGCCTTGCAGAGAGTTGCGATCTATATACACCGTGAATATATAATACATGCTCAAGGGCTGTGTTATCCAACGTTATTCTTTGGTTCTTTCGGTTAAGTCACGTCTAAAGATAAAATAATAAATTAAATAATAGCATATTACGACGTTTCGATTGCAACACAAGCAATCATCATCAGGCATAAAAGAAATAGCAACACAAATCTAACTAGAAAACTATAGACAGACATACAAGCAGACAGACATCACAAGGACACACAGAGAGAGGACACATATCGGCACAAAGAGAGGGGTCGTTTCTGTGACGGTGCCGCCCCTCTCTATATTTAAGGCACCGTCACAGAAACGACCTCTCTCTTTGTGCCGATATGTGTTCTCTCTCTGTGTGTCCTTGTGATGTCTGTCTGCTTGTATGTCTGTCTATAGTTTTCTAGTTAGATTTTTGTTGCTATTTCTTTTATGCCTGATGATGATTGCTTGTGTTGCAATCGAAACGTCGTAATATTCTATTATTCAATTTATTATTTTATCTTTAGACGTGACTTAACCGAAAGAACCAAAGAATAATTCTTGCAGTCACGAAAGCTCCAAAATTAAGATTATCCAACGTTCACATCTCGACGGTTAAGAAGGGATCGAGCTCTCCTTCTCTGCCGAGCAGGCCAAGCCAGCTTCGTCCGCTTTGCCCGAGGAGGAGGAGAAGGAGAGGGGGAGAAAATCCCAACGGGAATCGCTGCCCGGCCAAAACCCCGAGCCGCAACTTCCACGCAGCAGCAGCAGCAGCTGCGGTGGCGGCAAATCGCAAGGGGCGAGCAGACAGCAGGCCAAGTCGACCCCTTTCCCACACTCGCCAGGAGCGCCAGCGAGCCGAGCCGCTTCGTCGCGTATTCCTGTCGTGAGCCAGTCGCCGCGGACGCTGCCGGAAACTTCGAGCGCAAAGTCTCGAGCGAAGGTGCGCGCGCCGTGCGTCGGTGTCAAATGTTGCAGCGAGTTTCAAAGTGAACGCGCCGGAGAGAAGTGTGGGGTTTAAAACAAAATTTAAAAAAGTGGCACAGCCCTTTGTGAGTTGTGCAAACAATAAAAAAAACTGCCGGCGGTTTATCTTCTTGGTTCTTTCGGTAAAGTCTCGTAGAAGGAAAATAATAAAATAATAAAAATTAAACATAATATAAATAATTCTCACGACGTTTCGGCCACAACGCAAGCAGCCGTCCTCAGGTGGAGAACAGGTCTGTCCACCTGAAGACGTTTCGGCCACAACGCAAGCAGCCGTTTTCAGGTGGAGAACAGGTCTGTCCACCTGAAGACTTTACCGAAAGAACCAAGAAGATGAATCCCTGCAGTCACGAAAGCTTCATGCCGGCGGTTTCTGAAGGAGTGCATTGTCTAAGGTTTCCCATTAAAAAAAATATTAATTCAGGCAGCAGTGATACAGAGCACGGCAATTGGTCCATGGTTTGCTGATGGTTTTTGAAAATTGCTCATCATTTACAGATTTCAATGCTCACAAAATAAATTGTCAACAAGGATGTTTTTGTTGTTGTTATTACTTTAGTCCGCGATGACTACGAGTGGATGAAAATTAATCAAGACCAAAGCACGTGCTTAGATTTTTCGCTATGCACTCAGATTTAATTACCTACTACCAAATATATATTTTCAGGCTGTAATTGCAATATTTAAATAGCCATTTCTCGCATCTCTGCTTTAAATGTGCATGTGCCAGCTGTTTTTTTTCTGTTTATCTCTGATTGCGATGGTGACAACTGTAATTCTTTGTCGTTCTTATGTCATCAGATGCTCACAGGACAGCAGCAAAGGTAGCAGCAGTGGATTGCGCCCAGATCCACAAAAACGCTCATGGGAAGCCTTCTCGACCCAGGCTTCCATCAATACTGGATAAGAACCACGTGCTCATTGTATCGACATCTTGGCAGCAGACGCGTGGCGCAACTGTGCCTTTTTATTTTGGCGCTTCCTTTGAGAAATGGCTGTAGAACCTTTTATCTCGTTCCAGTTTTGTTTTTGATATACAATAGCGAAAGGTAATGTGTATTATCTAATATTAACAAATGGCGAAAATCTCGAATGAAATGAGACAAAATACTCGGTATGCAATAAGAACAAATTTGTTTCTGTTAAAAAAAAGTTAGATAAAATTGTAGTCTGACAAAATATAATCTGCATGATGGATTATAAATGGTACGAACAATGTCTGACCCATGTGCATCATTGTGTGGGTGTATGAAGCTTACTCTTTCTACGTAATGATTATTTTTGGTTTTATTGTTGTATACATGGAAATAAAATAAATACTTGTACTGACACGTATTATTAAGAATGCAATAACATTACTAATTATGCAAAGCCACTTTGTTAAAAAAATATTCGGCTGAATATAGTTGATCAAATCCACTGATTTGAAAAGAATTTGCTTCTGAATTTCTATTACGTTTTGCAATATATTACATTGTGTGCTGATGCTGATTTTCGTGCACGGCAGTTGTTCAATTCTAACAATAATCTGACCACAAAACTATTATCCCAGCATAGAATAAACAGTACAGTGGAACCTCGGTATACGACCGCTTTGGAATACGTAGAATTCGGTATACGTCGTGTTTTTTCGAGAAAAAAATGTCTTGGGATACGACGTCTTGCTTGGGATACGATGCGTTTGCTAGAACTTGTATGGGTCGGGATGAGTCACCGCGTACCCGCGTATGCCCCGTTCACGAATGAAACAAAGCGAGAGGGGTGGGGGATGTGGGTGAGAGGGGCGGGGGGCGTGGGGGAGAGGGGCGGGGGGCGTGGGGGAGAGGGGCGGGGGGCGGGGGGCGTGGGGGAGAGGGGCGGGGGACGTGGGGGAGAGGGGCGGGGGGCGTGGGGGAGAGGGGCGGGGGGAGAGGGGCGGGGGGCGTGGGGGAGAGGGGCGGGGGGCGTGGGGGAGAGGGGCGGGGGACGGGGGGGAGAGGGGCGGGGGGCGTGGGGGAGAGGGTGGGGGGCGTGGGGGAGAGGGGCGGGGGGCGTGGGGGAGAGGGTGGAGGGCGTGGGGGAGAGGGGCGGGGGGAGAGGGGCGGGGGGCGTGGGGGAGAGGGGCGGGGGGCGTGGGGGAGAGGGGCGGGGGACGGGGGGGAGAGGGGCGGGGGGCGTGGGGGAGAGGGGCGGGGGGCGTGGGGGAGAGGGGCGGGGGGCGTGGGGGAGAGGGGCGGGGGGCGTGGGGGAGAGGGGCGGGGGGCGTGGGGGAGAGGGGCGGGGGGCGTGGGGGAGAGGGGCGGGGGACGTGGGGGAGAGGGGCGGGGGGCGTGGGGGAGAGGGGCGGGGGGCGTGGGGGAGAGGGGCGGGGGGCGTGGGGGAGAGGGGCGGGGGACGCGGGGGGGAGGGGCGGGGGGCGTGGGGGGCTGCCCCCATGGAGGGTGGAGCCCCGGGTCGAGGCGCGCGCGACGTCACGTGACCAGCGCAGCTGGCAGCAGCGCGGTCACGTGGCTTCTGTATGAATTTTAGTAATTAGTGTCTAAATTGTTTTATACAACCCCATTAATGTATAATATGCCATGTAAAATATAATTTATTTTCCCCTGGAACGGATTATTTCCTTTCCCTATATTTCTTATGGGAAAAATTCGTTTGGTATACGTCATTTTCGGTATAAGTCCTACCTCCTGGTACGAATTAACGACGTATACCGAGGTACCACTGTATATGGCTTCAGTGATATTCTATCCTGGTAAATATATGAAGCTAAGACTCTACTGAAAGTGAAGAAGGCTATAGAATGAATACTTTTTATGAGAAAGGTTTACCAGAAAAGACACATTGAGTGTTGTATTTCTTAATGGGGAAATAAGAACGCTTAGTGTGCTATTATTTGTACCTAATCCATGTGTAATGTATACAGCTCTATATGCCATATATATATTATATGTAAAAGTACAGACCATACATTGAAAATATTTATTTTAATGCCAACATTTTATTCCGAAAGCTCGAATGTTGTATGCTAACATTGCATTTTGTACATATTTATCTGCAGTTTAATAATTATAATAATCTTTGCCATTGCATATACATTTTACAATGGTCAATGTAAGCAGCATGCACATACACTACGCATGTGTATATTATATAACATGGCCAGTCAAGGTTGTTCCATGCTAATATCCACATATTTTCTAATATATAAATAAATGAATGGGAAAAAATACCAATTGTTACAAATAGAGCAATGTGTTACAATAGAGTGAGGATAAAAAAATACAAGCGTGTTGTGTAATGCATGGCACAATTCCTTTTTATTGCATATTACTTACTTGCTGAGTCAAAACAGATTTATTTGAAACCTACCCAAAGGAAATGAAAAATTATACAGTCTATTCCAGACAGGTGTAATAATATGGACTACTTTCAACGGAACAAGCCACAGCATTTTTCCTATTTATGAAGGGGGAACAAACAAAAAAATCCTCCTCTGTAAAGCATTAGCTGTAGGATATTAGCATTTTCATAAGAAACTAAGAATAAACATGGGTTTATTAAAAGTTCAGCGTATACCGTGTCGTAATGCTCATCCTTACTGACCACTTTATCTTAAAACAGATCTTGACCATCTATTCAATACGTGTTAGACAGGTTGCAAATTGTTATGCGTGTTCAGTTATATTTGAAGTTGGAATTTTTATTTTATTTCCCCACCCCCTACCCCAATTTCATTCAAATTGTGCTCTTGGTGTTCAGACAAAGTATACCCAACCAGGACTCTCACAGAAGGCTGCGGCGCCCCCATTTTTAATTAAATATGTTTAAAGTATAAAAAATTGTTCGTAGAATATCTAAAACTAGTGGCGTCCGCAGCCTTTGGGGCCATCCATTTAGTACATACGCATGGAACGGGGAGGGCGGAGGTTAACCCAAAGGCGTAGCTTGCATATTGGGGGTCTACTGACAATGCACGTACACATAGGAAACCGGGGGGAGGGGGGTGTGAAGCCTCGATAATAATTTGTCTACATTGGCCTTCAAATTAGTTCGATAGTCTGGCGGTGGACTATCTGTTTGCTTAAAATAAACGTGGATTAAATATCGGTCGGGGGGTGGTGCGTCAGGGGTATGTACGCAGGTGTCGGGGGGGGGGGTGTAAAAAGTACACGTGCGTGCAGGGAGGGGGGGAGGGGTTGAGTTTTGGCAGATTTTGCGTATCTACTCAATCGATGGCCCCTTTCCCCGTACACATACTGACTGAGCGCTAGACCAGAATGCATGATCGCACTGCAGGCTGACTCCCTTGTCATTACCTCCCATGGCCACGAGTCCATTCGCACTGCAGGCTGACTCCCCTGCCATTACCTCCCGTGGCCACTAGTCCATTCGCACTGCAGGCTGACTCCCTTGTCATTACCTCCCGTGGCCACTAGTCCATTCGCACTGCAGGCTGACTCCCCTGTCATTACCTCCCGTGGCCACTAGTCCACTCACACTGCAGGCTGACTCCCCTGTAATTACCTCCCGTGGCCACGAGTCCATTCGCACTGCAGGCTGACTCCCCTGTCATTACCTCCCGTGGCCACTAGTCCATTCGCACTGCAGGCTGACTCCCCTGTCATTACCTCCCGTGGCTACTAGTCCATTCGCACTGCAGGCTGACTCCCCTGTAATTACCTCCCGTGGCCACTAGTCCATTCGCACTGCAGGCTGACTCCCCTGTCATTACCTCCCGTGGCCACTAGTCCATTCGCACTGCAGGCTGACTCCCCTGTCATTACCTCCCGTGGCCACGAGTCCATTCGCACTGCAGGCTGACTCCCCTGTAATTACCTCCCGTGGCCACGAGTCCATTCGCACTGCAGGCTGACTCCCCTGTCATTACCTCCCGTGGCCACGAGTCCATTCGCACTGCAGGCTGACTCCCCTGTCATTACATCCCGTGGCCACTAGTCCATTCGCACTGCAGGCTGACTCCTCTGTCATTACCTCCCGTCGCCACTAGTCCATTCGCACTCTAGGCTGACTCCCCTGTCATTACCTCCCGTGGCCACTAGCCCATTCACATCATAGGTTGACTCTACTGTCATTACACAGGTAAGTACTTTACGGTAGAACCCCTCTTAACGTGCACCCCTGTTAACGACTAACCGCTTAACGACGGGTCTCCATAGAGCCCAGTGTGTAGTGTATAGTGTAGTGTATAGTAGTGTAGTGTACGGTGTCGTGTATACTAGTATAGTAGTATAGTGCCTTCATAGAGCCCAATGTGTTCCCTTACCGACCATTCCCCTGTTAACGATGGGCTGTTGTAGGTACAGTAAATATAAATTAATGCATTTATAAAAAAATATATTTTAATATGTATTTTCATGTTTGTTAGTATCTTTATGCATTATTATCCATCGTTTAAATATTTAGGGTGCAAAAGGGAAACTTTTTATGCTATCGGAACGAATTAAGTTTTTAACATGTATTTCCTATACTCGCTTAACGATCAAATCACTTAACGACCGGTGGAACCAATTACTCTCGTTAAGAGGGGCTCTACTGTATTGTTGCATGTTTTTTTTATGGTCCTGTTATATTTATCGTAAGGAGCATCACAATGCCACCAAAAGCAACATCCCAGTTAACGTTTAGCCAACGTTGGCATTGGTACAACGCTGCATGTTTACTGGAGTGTCATGAGCCAACATACCCCACAAGCCAACGGTATGCACGGAACAGCCTTTGGATATGATGCGCACTGCATAATGCATTAAACACACTACACAATGTTTCATATGCAGCGCACGCAACTATAACTGCCCGGGGGAACAAGGTTCGCAGTAGGAATAGTTACACGATGCACCCTGCACAACGTTCAACACTGGGGATGAGCAAAATCCAGCTATACATCGGCAACGACGCCGTTTCGCTTTCGATAAATTCATGTGTCGACGTCGATGTTTATTCCGCCGATAATTATTACGATCAGAACTTTGGTGTTTTTACATAAAATGATAGTGCTTAAGCACTTTGATGAATATTTCTCTGTTGCCAGATAGAAGGGTAAAAAAAAATTGTCATATTTTTTCACTGGCAAATGAGGTTCCGATGGTGTAAATGCTTACCCCGAGCTCTCATACTCTGATGGTGCATTGTCTTTGAGTTGTGCGCCTTTTGGCGTCATCTGGTCCAACACCATGTGAGACTAGGCTCGAAGGAAAGCTGTCTCGGGTGTGGACCAATCAACTTCAAGGACAGTGCATACATTATCAGAGTTATGTTTTTTGTTTGCATTATGACTGCAGGTATTGTGGTCTATGCAAACATGACTCCTTGTGAATAAAAGGTGTTAGTTTTGTTGCCAGATAGAAGGGTAAAACACCAATTATCATATTTTTTACTGGCAAATGAGGTTCCAATGGTGAAGCCACATTGTCAAAAATATTAATCAAACAGTTGTAAACGGTGAATGATCAACAAATGATTTGGCTGCATACCTTGGAGCGTATTGGTTTTGACAAACATGCTCCTTGTGCAAACTTTTTTTTCCAGACACAAAAAATGTAGTACTTCTGCAAAATCAATCTCGATAATTAAAAGCAGCGCACCAATGCGCCTTAAGGAAAACGTTCTCCTGTTCGTGGATATCACTGTTTAATTACATGGAACGAACACGTGGACATGAACAAAAGACTGATGAAAGAAAGCTGACAAGTTTTGCAGGGAAGAAATTATCGAGAATTATGCCAAGAGACGGGAAGAGAACGTATGGATCAGACTCGTAGCCATCAAATTGACTGTTAAAGTCAGCGGGCTTGGACAGGGCAGATTGCTAGAGATGATAGGTGATGGCTGACAGTAGAATGTCAGCTAAATAAGTAATCTTAAAAAAAAAACTTTTTTAAACACGCTTTAATGAAATGTACCGTACTAGTAATTGAAGAACTCCACGACTCCAGGAAGTGGCCCCGAAGCTTGACACAAGGTAAGGGACAGTGGCCAATTACAGCCAACGTGAGTTGACCGTGGACAGTTAGACCCAAGCCAAAACATAACATATTAAAAAGAATGCTTAAAAAAATATTTCATTTTTAATGATAGAATATAGTATTATCATCAGTATGACATAAGTATACCAAGTTTGCAGTCGATACGACATTGGGAAGTGGCTTAAAATTGAGTTACAAGATTTGAGGATACAACAGAGTGAGTTGAACGTGTAAAAAGGAAAGCAGCCATAGGTGAAGTAATGAAATGTGATCATATTCGGGAACGAATTGGGGTGTTGCATCGCAAGGCCATCAATTAAAAAGGGAGGCTCTTATCCAGCAGTAGTTAGGCCACGGTTGAGCATGGTGATGCATAATGGCTCTAAATAATTGGAAACCACACGTGCTTTTTATCATCGCATTATATCAATATTTGTCGTGGGTTCAGCAAGACATTTGCTTGACGGGGGAATATGGCTTTCTGACGAATAAGACTGGTGATGGAATGGCGACCATAGGAGAGATCCCACCATACGGAGATGCAGCAATGATCTCAGGTCGTATGCATGCGTGACATAGATGATGGCATTGCAGGACAGCGAGTGATGGTGATGGCATGACGGGAGGCCTTCACTGAATCGTGACCAGACAAGGGCTGATGATGATGATGAATCTGCACGTGCGTGCATGTTCATTGAACATTAAAGGGCCACACATTAATTCCCAGCACGAGTTAATATAAAGGTGCAGACCAGGAAGTGCTTTCTCATGCCACTGCTGGCAGAAGGGACTTCACTATAGGGACCTCCAAAGAGTCCCTCTGAAAGAAATGTGCTGGTCAGGTGTCTCGGAGATGTGAGAGGGTGTTTTTGTTCGTCGACTGTTGCACGCTGTGGAGACGACGCCTTGGAAGAGGGTGGGAGCACACCACTTTACCCTACCACACTCGATATTCTGACTGTGACGTACCCGTTCATGCTGCTGCCTGAAAAGAGGTGGATACACTTTGCGACATTTTGGCCACTCTTTCAACTGCCGCGCTGGGAAATCGAATTGAACCAAGATGGCAAGTTCAGTTCTGGATTGCAAGTTCGGTTAGCTTTGCCGTTGCAACACGGTGGCATCCCTCATCGAGGCAAAGTAGCAGAAGAGAGCGCAGTGATGTGATACGGCATGGCGACTTGACAGGAACTGCTGAGGAGCGCAATACATTTTCTTTGGAGAATCTGGGTGTGGGCTCCTGTCATTGAAGTGGGCAACTGACGCACCCAATGTGTCATCAATGGTGCCGTGTGGAGAGATTCGTCTGCTGGCACATTTCCAGTGACAGACGCAAGGAACTTGCGCCTCAAGACAGGGCCTCATGCCAGGAGGTCGACCTGTGTACACAAGTCAACTGCTTTGGAGACAACCTGTTCTGGGTCACAACTTCAAATTTCACTACATTGCGATGGAGTTAAAAAGTTTGGGATTCTTAATTTTTTGAAAATGTCTAAAGATGTATTTGTCAAATGAGCATTTAAACGGTGCTCATGTCATGTTTTGCAGTGGTGGGAATTCCTAATTTCATAGGGTGAGTGCGAGTGTTGATTTGCACACAGTGGTGCTCATGTTATTTGTTCTCGAGGAATGATATTTATCCTCGCTGCGGCTTTACGGCTGGCCATCGAACAAAGACGACCACTGCATTGTGTTCTTCCAGATGCGCTTCTGCGGCCGTCTGGAACGCTCTTCCTTTCCATATTAGGAAGCCATTGGAGTAATGCACTTTTAAATGTAGATTGAAAACTAATTTCTTAAGAATGGCTTTTTGTGTTTAGTTTGTTGTCCTTCCCCCGCACCTCCGATAATCAAGGTTGGTTACTCACGGTGCGAAATAAGTTAAACATAAATACATATAATCTTGATTTGAAGCTTTCGTGACTGCAGGAATCCATACTCAGGAATCCAAACTCTTTGGTTCTTTAAAACAGTCTGCCTCAGCAGCAGACCATGCTTCCCACCTAATGTTGCGCCCGAAACGTCGTGATTCATCTTATTTTATACCTACGTGACTTTACCGAAAGAACCAAAGAGTATAAATACATATAAAGAGCAATTAATGGATCAGAGGAATCATGGAAATTAGAGATATCTTTTCAAATGTTATGAAAGTAAGTGGGTTTGGGCAGGACACATTTCTTTAAGGGAAGATTTATTGATGAGACTGTTGCGACTGTTGTATTAGCGTGGTTGGCTACGTACGGTGCAAAAGAAGTTCAACATACGTATGTAACCAACCACTCACTCACCCACTCACCTACTCGCTCACCCACAAACTCACACACACCCACCCAATCTATGTATGTATGTTGAACTTGATAATAGTTTTTTTACCCTTCTATCTGGCAACAAAACTGACACCTTTTTTACAAGGAGTCATGTTTACATAGACCACAATATCTGCAGTCATAATGCAAAAAAAAACATAACTCTGATAATGTATGCACTGTCCTTGAAGTTGATTGGTTCACACCCGAGACAGCTTTCCTTAGAGCCTAGTCTCACATGGGTTGGACCAGATGACGCCAAAAGGTGTCAGTTTTGTTGCCAAATAGAAGGGTAAAAAAACAATTATCATATTTTTACTGGCAAATGAGGTTCCTATGGTATGTTGAACTTCTTTCGCACCGTATGTATCCAACCATACTAATCAGAATACCGGCTAAAGGAGATCATACACTCGAGAGGATTTCTAACGTGGACGTGTCAAGGAGCGAGGTGGGTCTTTGTTGTTTATGACAACAGCATGGGGAGGCCTTCACTGTTGGAGAGAAACGGGCTGATGATGTGCTTATACATCAAACTGCAATTTGTAATTCACACCACCACTCCCAAGATAGTTGGGGGAAAAAAATGTAGTTCAAGTTATAACCAGTTTGGAGTGTGAAAAACTAAAAATCGTTGATACGTAGCCCGAGGTAGAATCCCGACAAAAAACTACGGAGTAATAGCTTCGTGTGTGCTTGCTGTCAACCTTTCAGTTCACCTGACTTTGTGAAAAGGATTTCTTGAGCGAGATTCGAGCAACGCAAATGCTGCATTTACACCTGCACTTTGAACCGTGAACACCCGCCAACCTTTCATTTACACACTTTGAGTGAAGATAACATTTTTTTAGGCATTGGCTTACATTGCATGTGTTGCTACGTTTTTTTTTGCATTACAGTAGTGTGCTTGTACACCGAGGTAAGCAGAACATTTTTGTTTTAAAAAAATCATTTAGAGAATACTTTCCGCCCCCCCCCGCCGCCCCCATCATATGTAAAAATGTCTAAGGTCTAGGCACAATCGATGCGAGTGATTTTTGTGATGATCAACAGCCACATACAAATTAAAAGCGGTGTGTGTTTTTTTTCGTCCGTGATATAAATTACGTTTTCATCACTCCAAGCTGTTCCTGTGGTTTTGTTCAGAGGTGTTTTAACGAGAAGGTGTGTCACTGTCAGCTTTCGCATCTCACACTCCGACGACACCTCCACCCGCGCAGGTAGGCATGCATCATCATTAGTATTAGTGTTCGTAACAGGACGCCTTAAGAACGTTTGTTCTATGAATAATCTAATGATAAAAACATGTTTAATTACTGTATTGTTTTATTTTAATGTTAACATAGTTTCAAATAATTGTAGCAGTCGTAGTAATAATATCATCGTAGTAGTAGTAGCAATACGACAACGATTAAAGGTAAATGTTTCTGTAAATATATACGTTTAATGTTTCAACAGTTTTGTCTGTCATGGGAAAATATTATTAATTGCTGTTGCTTACGTCAAAAGTTAAATGCGTTTGATGTTACTTGCTTGTAAAGAGCAGCAGTAATGTCTCATTACCATCTCGTTACAGGACCCATGGCTACTTGGCAGAAACTTGAAAGCAGAACATCTGAGCCCCTTGAAGAAGACACAAGTGGATCCAATGGCCACATTTCGGAATCAACCGCTGGTTTGGTGCTTGGTAAAGAGCACGACACTTTGCCATCCATCATTTTCCGTTTACGAACGAGCGATGTTCAATGTCACACTCGTAAATACTGATGCGTTATGTCTTCAACCGGTGTGTTTTGGGTTTATGCCGTAAGTTGTACAGCATGCGGTATTAACCATGCACCGAATTGGAGAGCTGTTGATTCATACGAACATTAATTAAGTGTGCGATCCTATCATGCCAGCAAACGTAGACATGTTCTTTAATTGTCTCCTGATTTTGTTGTATAAATTAACAACAACCTAATACTGTTTGCAAGTAAACATTGTCGCAATTGTTTATTCACGAAAAATGTGGCCCTGTCACTAAATGCCAAAGGTTTTGTTTTTTTAGTGGCTATACAATAACAAAAGTCGTGTGCCTTAGGAACATAACTGCCGAATTTAGACTCACACAACATTTGTGAATGTGTAAACATTACCATAACATGTTTTCAACCTTACAATGCTAGTGTTTTATGCTAGATAGTACAACATAGTAAATATTTGTGAAACGTTCTATTATCGTGGCCTTAAATACAGTAAAACTTAACATATCCTCCCATCACGTATCTCCTCTGACCACTCAGCCACCCACACCCAGAGTGATATGTGTGTATGGCGTAACTGGCAATATTTATTTAAGACGTGTTCACAAATTAGACATTTTAAATACAGTCGTGTGTTTTTAAATCCTTTATATTAAGTTCACTTGCTTGCTTGCTTGCTTAGGACCGTGCAAATCTTTCGGTCGTTTTTTAACCCACTTCCCGTGATCCAATCGAGCTGACATTTTGCACACAGACTCGTTGTGCGTGACAATTAATGTTCGTGAAATTTTTTCCCAAAATTTTTACACTTTTTAGGACAAAAATATTATATTTAATTACCAATTGCTTAATGGTGCAATGCAATCATCTGACCCATAGGTGGCAGCCATCTCAAGCCAGAGGACGAGAGGACTCTAGCCGCCACGCATATAAAGGGTTTATAGTGAAAAACTTTGTTTTTACGGGTTATACTTGTTTTTCTCTTGAATAAATTCGCTTAATTCTAGGGTACAGCAAAGCATTTTGCAATGTTGAAAACAGTTCGTTCTTTGTCTTATAGAGCAACCTAATTTGTGCATTGGCTGTAACTTTCATTTCATATTAATTTTCAGATATCCGAACTTTTCTCATTGATCTACCTGGAATTCATCTCCCGTCGAGCCAGATATGCGACGTTTACTGCCACGGGTATCAATCCCCCGAGAAATGTGCAATGCTCAACGAGTCTTTGTTGTTGTTTTTGTTGTATACAAGTTGTTTTGCTTGCACTGTTTTCAAAGGCTCCAGCATGAGAATGAGTCCGACTCCAAAACGTGGATCTTGGCCACGATTCCTCTCCAGCCCAAATGCAATGAAGAGAGCGATCATTGTGCTGTACATTCTCTTCGCCGTACATTTTATACTGTGGGCAATGACAGGTAGGCATTTTGTTATCCCTATTGAACCATCGCTGAATAGTATTGTAGACGATCTACATGACTTTGCAGGTGAATCAAGAGCGTGGTTAAAATGTGTATTCGTTGTCATCAACTTAATAGCGACAGTTGTTTTGCACTGTTTTGCTTCGAACGGCTTATCATCAAAATCCTGTCATGTAACCAGACATGAGCCCCAGCAGACTTAGATTACTCTTTCTCTTGAATTTCATTTGGACTTTACACCCTGTGAACGATGACATTGATTTTACGGTGAAGCCACTGGACTAGCAATCCAGAGGTCGCCAGTTTTTATTGCCTGCACAGCAGTTGAAACTGATTCTTAAACCCCCCCACCTCGACCCACCCAGCAATCAGACTTGGCACACCGCAGTTAGTTGATCAACAGGTCCAAATTGTCTGGCAAGCGTGGGAAGAGTAGGCCAAAATTTATCTCTGTATTCTAGATTTGAAGCTTTGGTGACTGCAAGGATTCATATTCTTAGGTTTTTTACTTTTTTTTACCTACGTGATTTTACCGGAAAAAAAAACCTAAGAATATTTATCTCTGTAGCCGCTCGCTAGGAACATCCTTGAGTAGAGGCCCTTTTGCCAGAAGTGGTGTGGGCAAGCAATGGCAGAGCAGCGCCACGTTTGCCTTAATCGAGGTTTATTTGAGTGAGATCACGTGAATGAAAGAAGGGTCGTTAAACCCACCACCACTGGACACGGCCAATTAGTAATGTTTGTCACGTAAACAAAAACGTGCCCATCAGATACTCGTTCACACCGGTGTGTTGGAGAGTAATCCCACAACATTTACAATATTCGAGTACGACATTTCGCTGGTGATTACAACCAGCTTAATCAGGTAATAGCCAGAATTGTTTGCCTTCCTCGAAATACCAATTTGAGATACAGATGCACAATGGGCATAGGCTGCTTTGATGAATTAGGGGTATCCTGAAAACACCTGATAGCTCGCACAAACTTTTTATATGTATCCAGTTTTGTTGACAGCATATAAATGAAGTGGATGGGTTAAATAATACATTAATTTTGTGGCCATTTGTGAGGTGGCGATTCCAAACTAAATATTCAAAGTAGACTTAAGTATTTCCATGAATTATTCTTTGGTTCTTTCGGTAAAGTCACGTATAAAGATAAAATAATAAATAAATAGCATAGTATGCTATTATTGAATTTATTACTTTATCTTTATACGTGACTTTACCGAAAGAACCAAAGAATAATTCATGGAAATACTTAAGTCTACTTTGAATATAGCATAGTATGCTATTATTTAATTTATTATTTTATCTTTATACGTGACTTTACCGAAAGAACCAAAGAATAATTCCTGCAGTCACGAAAGCTCCAAAAATTAAGATTATTTCCATGAAACCATGGGTTGGCAGAATGTAGTCTTTTTTCCAGGAATACATCACGAATGTTAATGCCCTTGAGTGGAAATTTTGGGTATGTGGTGTTGTTTCGGTTACTCTGCACCTTCACTTTGATTTTGTGGGGATCTGATATCAATCATGTCCATGAGACAGCTTCTGATGAGCAACACAACTTTAGAGTAGTTATTTGTTTCTAAATTATTAGATTTTCTTGCCACTGTACGGACATTCTCAAAAGTTAGGATACAATATGAGCGACATAAATTTAATTTTAGCAATTTATTTTAATTTATGGCAGAGTTATTGATGAATGTGAGTTTTTTGTTGTTTTGTGTTTCCCATGATTTGATTTCAATCACGGCACTTTGTGCTTCAATGGAACTAAACATCTCTCTGCTGAGCTTGATGCAATTGAAAAGTATCTATTTTTGGCATTATTATTTTTTATACAGGGTGGCCCAAAAGAGAGGAGACACAGAGTTATTTAATTTTAACACTACCATTACACAATTTTCATTGTTTATTCTTTAGGTTAAAATTGTATCTTTTATCATGATTAATATATATTTTTTATTCTTCCTGTGGAGTCACCTCAAATCCATCTTAGGTGACTTCAGAAAAAATATAAAGTATTAATGTTAAAATATGACACCTGTAATCTTTAAAGAAGTCCTAAATTCATTTCAATAGGATGTATCCATGCATTCATATTCAGGGACGTCAATTTGAATATTGGTTAAAATAAATGAAATAACCCTTTGTGACTTGTTAAAATAAATATAATAACCCTAATTGCCCTGACTCATGGGCCGCTCTATTAGCCTTGTTTAGGAAATTTAAACAAAAGAGAAATACTTATCACTACCACAATGATGTATACGATTTTCTTTGTTTCCACCAAAACAGCAGTGTCCCAGAGTATGAGGCAAGGCAATGAAGCCAAAACAGTTGAAACTGATGTCAATGATCTTCAAAAAAACATGACATTGCCGTTTGAAAAATACCAACAGTTGCCTGCAGGAGTGATTGATGAGACTGAAACTGCTACATTTGAGTCACGTAGCCAGAATGTTTATCATCAACACTCAGATGTCAAAAGCCTCTTCTCTTCCACCGAGGAGTTGAATTCAACGGTTCTGCTCTTGCAATCCCAGCTCAAAACCCTGAATGATAAAACGGAGAACCTCTCAGACATTACCACAGTTCAAATGAACACGAACACTGCCATAACAGAGCAGAGTAAGATGCACATCCATCAATTGCAGGATAGGCTTGAGGGGGTGGAGATGCTCCTGCAACAGTTGATGAGTGCTGTCCAACGACTGAACCAGTCTTATCAAGCGGATATTGCCTCCTACGGGAATGACATGCTCACTTTGAACTCTATGGTGGCTAACGTGACCTACCAATCCATGGAGATGAAGCAGACCCAAAGGGACATGCAGAGGCAGCTGAAGAATGAGATGGAAATTCTCAAGAAAGTGACGGAGGACGTGCGACTGAATAACTGGGAGCACAGCATCAAACTGCAGAACATTACCATATTGACAGGTGGGGCAAAGAATGCTGAGCATCCACAGATAGATGTATGTACACGTATGATGTGTATTAAAAAAGGAGCGCTGAGCTGGCTTTGCTAAGATCCTGAGTTTGGGGGTGCCACGGTGGCTATGAGATGTTGACTACCTCGCCTGGTATACAGGATGGTCGTGGGTTCGATCTCGACCCTGATGCCTGCTGCTGTATATTTGGAGATGGCGTGTCTCGCTCTCTCTTTCTCTCTCATCATCGTCATTATCACGGTGGCTATGAGATGTTAACTACCTCGCCTGGTATACAGGATGGTCGTGGGTTCGATCTCGACCCTGATGCCTGCTGCTGTATATTTTAAGTTTGAATGTACTCGTGTGGAGTTTTCCCTCGACGTTTACAAAACATGCATTTAGAGTGTTTAGCTGCAATACATTTCCACATAAGGTCGCTTGGATTGTTTTGCCTCCACATTTATAAACATGTGCTAGAGCATTTGGCCGCTATACATTTCCACATGTTAAGCAACTTTGTTGAGCTATCATTTGTGGTCAAGTCGCTTCAGAAAAAGAGCTATATAGCTCAGTGCGTCTTACCTGGTAAAATAAAGAAATGTTTTTGTTTCGTAAACAGTTGAATCTGTGCAGTCGCCAATGATTTAACCAGATTCGCAAGGCTACTTAGTTGATGGTTGCAACCCAGTCGTCAATACCTTTACAAAAAAACAATCATACTAAATTTTAATTTGCTTTCGATTTGGTACCTGCTATGAAAATTAACATAATTTGCCGTGCTGTCATGCGGTAATCTATTCTTAGATTGTATCAGAAAGGTTCGTGTGTAAGTTTTAAAATAGCTGCTTAAAGGATTTTTTTCTGGAGAAGTCCTTGTGAACAATCTCCTGCGCAGCCATTCTACCACACACGTGGGATTTTTTAATGCAAGATTTCCTAAATGAATGATTTGCCCTATGATCCGATGCCATTAGCAAAATTAGAATAAATTCGTAAAAAATAAGACTAAAAAAAGACAAAAAAAAGCCTTTTTTTTAGCCTTTTTTTACGTGGGAGAATTCTTTTTTTTATTTTTTCAAAAGTATCTGCTGGATTAAAAATGTTTTCTTCTCCTTTCCAAGGTCCTCCTGGGCCAAAGGGGAACCAAGGCGACATGGGGCACACAGGTGTACCTGGCATGCCTGGCTCAAAGGGTGAAAGAGGATTTACAGGTGTTGTTAATTGCACGCACATTGCCACTTACACTGAACTTTACACCAACAGGAGGAACTGTGTGTGCATGTGTGTTTGTTGCCATGCCACAGGGTGAAGTGGTACCAGGGTTAAATTCCTGTTCTGCATGGGTTTCTTCCGGATTATTTGGTTTCCTCCCAAAGTAAAAAACTACACATTTAGTCAAAAATCTCAATATGAAACCCTCCTGAAAAGGTTTATTCAGACTGAGTTGGGCTTTCTTGGATAAAGAAGTAATTACGATTATGCACAAATCAAAATTAAGTTGATGTCTTTAACATGAACTCATCTTATTCAACCTCGTATAATGTATGAGGTATTCGCGTGTAGAGACAGTGATAGCAACAATTTAAAAACAGTAAAAAATAATCATTGCGGATGGTACATTGATTGGAGGAATAAAACATGCAAGTGTGTTTAAATATTACTCCTTTAGCCCATTTCTATGGCTTACGATGCAAATGATGTAACTACAACCTTGCCTCGGTACAAACGCCAATACATATTCTTCTGCAACCAGTTTAGAGGATGAAAATAAAATTGTTTCTCACTTCCACCGATGTTGTTGTGTGTTTTCTGTGCACCCTGCCTGTCAATGCATCTACTTTCCTATCTCTCTCTCGCTCTCTCTTTCTCTCCCCTTCCCTGCCACCCCTCTCTGCCAAGGTTTCCTTGGTCTTGCTGGACAGAAGGGATATCCAGGAGAAAAGGGGGACATTGGACCCAGAGGGCCGTCTGGACTTCCAGGAACTCCCGGTTGGTCACTTGTTATGTCTTTATGCAACGAACTCAAATAGTACAGAGCAGTGGTTCCCAACCTGTGATCTGCTACCCGCTGGTGGTCTGCAAGGTCATGGGAAGTGTGCCACAAAACGCTTGCAGATACAATGTTTTTTTTCGTTCACCAAACACTCGACGCTCTATTGCTCGGTGATTCACAAAATACATTTGAGAGTTTACGGTCGGTGGACCAGAGTTCCACAATGGCTGGTAACCACTGGTTTTGATCTCCATATATATACAAGGCAAAGTTGTGAATATGTGTGTCTGTTCAAAATGTTTAGCGTACTTCCCTACATGCAACAAACTAGAAATTAGCCATGTGGGTACTTTCCAGACTGTACACCATGCAAACATTATAAAAATACACACTTTTTTTGGGGGGGGGGGAGCTCAATAATGCAAGTGAGCTGTGACGTCAAATCTGTCACGTGACCCGCGCATGTGGAAGCGTAACGCATTGTAGTGTAGTGGTGAGCGCGCTGCGCTACGAACCCGGCGGCCCGAGTTCGATTCCCGCTCACGGACACCACCGGTGACGATTATTTGAACCGGTCCTGGGTCTCCCCTAGGTCGACTCAGCCTCAAACAAGTAACTATTGTGATGTGTGAACATCGCCACTGGGGAGACAAAGGCGGCCGGGCGTGGTGCTGTCACCCACCCCCTTGTCAACTATAACTATCACAGCCCTTAGTCATATCATCCGGAAATATTTAAAAGTCTGGTCAACTTCTTAGCACTTAGTAGGTTGTTGCATGTTCCTGCAATTGACCTGGATTGAATGTAAAGTATGAAATGTGTGGTATGCACAGCAGACCATGTCGCAATCAGTTACCAAAAATAGTTCGCATAGAGTTGCCATGTGCATCACATGTAATTACTGCAACAATTGGCCAATTTCCTCCTGGACTTAGCTAACAGCCATAACAATGTTTATGTTATTTACCTGCGGATTTTGGCTAACCGAACAAAGACGGCCACTGCACCGCACGCTTTAAAACTTGCTTCTGCGGCCGTCTTGAATGCTCTTCCTTCCGATATGAGGAAGCCACTGCAGCTAGGCACTTTAAAATCATCTAGATTGTAAACTCATTTCTTTAGACCTGCTGTTTCGTGTTTAATTTGTTATGCTTCCCCTGCACATCCGATGAGCACGGTTGGCTATGTACGGTGTGAGAGAAGTTCAACATACATACCAGGACAGAGCCATTTGTCGAACCAAATAACGTCTATTACTTATTCTTAGGTTTTTTCGGTAAAAGTCACGTCGGTAAAATTTTTTAATTAATTAAAATAAAATAAAAAATAAAACAAAAATCACGACGTTTCGGAGGCAACACAAGCTTCCGTCTTCAGGTGGAACCGTCACAGCACGATAGCTGCATCAAGTGATTGATTGAGTGATTGATTGATACAGCTGTCGTGCTGTGACGGTTCCACCTGAAGACGGAAGCTTGTGTTGCCTCCGAAACGTCGTGATTTGTATTTGATTTTTTATTTTACTTTTATTAATTTAAAATTTTTAGTTACGTGACTTTACCAGAAAAAAACCTAAGAATATGAATCCTTGCAGTCACGAAAGCTTCAAATCAAGAATAGTCTATTACTTAACCAGATAAAAGGTGTGGATGCAGCCCTCAAATTGCTTGATCATGCCACTGCCAGTGAAAGGGTCTCCACTCGTGGGAGCTCTAAAGGGCCTCTCCAGAGAGTATTTAGCTTACTCTATCATTCATTCAATTAATGTTTTGAGTAAAAGCTCGCCCCCACTAATCAATACACATGTAAAAAATATATCAAAATGAGAGGACATACTCAAGGAAAAGCTAAAAGGCAAAAAAACAGTCTTGCAGAGTTCACACTGGTCCAAACATCTTGGAAGAGGTGGAAGTGCTCACACTTTACCCCACCACACGCAACCTTCCAATCAACTGGGTGGACAGTGGCGAGGGTATTTAAGAAAACGATCAGGTTGCATGCAACTGCCACTGCGGGTGATTCAGCTGTCGACATCTGGATTGCAAATCCAGTGTCCTGATCTCGTGCGATGGGGAGAGGCAGTTCTGAAGTGTGTCTGCACCCTAGGTGTCCGGGCAGAAAAGGGTATGAGTGGAGACAAAGGTGACAAAGGTGACAAAGGTGACAAAGGTGATCCAGGTAATTTTAATTACTATCACTGTTTACAAATATTGCATTCAGTAATTGACCATTGATTTACATTTGCTATGTTTTTTGTTGTTGCTATTTATGGATTTACATACATCTGTAGTGACTCAATCGGAGACACTAAGAGTTGGAGGCACTCTGTTTATTAACACACGCACCAACGGGTTCACACTTTCAAATAATCCGTCTATAGTCGACTACGGTTCCCAGTCAGGGTAGTGGGTTGACTGCCTGACTGGCGACGCCGAGATGGTGAAGACGGAGACGATAAGAATGGTGAAGACTCCAGCAGCAGCATGACGGGATCCCACTCCAAACGACAGCCCCGAGGTCCCCTCTTGGGGCCCCTCTTATACTGTCACGTGGTCTGGCTCCGCTCCCAGCCACGCCCCTTTTCTAGAACCTACCAGCGGGTTCCTGGTGTGTCCCTTCCGTGACCTTTCCCCTCGACCCCCCTCTGGTGTATCACGTGGCCTGCTGCTGTCAGGTCTGCTGTAAGCGGCAGATCACCTTCCCCGCCAGCAGCCAGCGCTATGCTGCTACATAGCTAATTCTATGTCACTACACATCCATCAACAGCAAACATAGAGCAAATTACATAAAAAGGGGTGGAGATATGCGTGTTTAGAGTTGCATGGAGAGACACGCGGATTTCAGAACTCTTCTGATGATCGATTGGATTATTTGACGAATTGGATAACACCGCTGCCATATCCCACTGGGCATGGCTTGTTGGGAGTTCCTCCCTTCGAGAGGCTGGATGTTGGCTAAGCCCCCCATTGTTTAAAAGGGCACAAGTAATCGATCCAACAAAATGTAGCCGATAAAAAATGTGTTGTGGATCAATTTGACTTCATGGATTTATTGTCCCCGGCTCAAGTTGAAATGCTTGCGACGGTGTTTCTGTGTCCGTAGACAACGTCATATTGCCCGTGGTGAGGCTTGTTGGTGGAAGAAGGTCCAACGAGGGGAGAGTGGAGGTGTTGCACGATGGGCAGTGGGGCACCATCTGTAACGACAACTGGAATGTGCAGAATGCGAATGTCGTTTGCAAAATGTTGGGCTACAGAAGTGCCTCTGCATCACCTACCATTGCGAGCCCATATGGCCAAGGTACGTTCAGTGCAGTAGTTGCGCAATTATAGGGCACGCAGGCGCGCGTGTGTTTTTGTGCGCCGCGGTTGGAAGCCTCGAAATCAGTGGTTCTTAACCTGGGGTGCACGCACGACCTGGGGGTGGGAGATGCCCTTTCTGGGAGTGTCAGACATGGCCAGAAACCCCAAATTAAGCACGGGCACGGAGGCACAACTAGTTTTTTCAATCGAACCTACGTATTTATTAAGGTTATACATTTTCTAACGATTGAGAACTGAAGGGGTGCAGGCTGCATTAAAGGTTAAGAACCACTGCTCTAAATTATTACTTGGTGCTGTGTAAACCAAGGCCGTAATTTGCATATGTATTGGGGGGGAAACACACCCCCCCCCCCAATATTCAAATATGCTCAAAATATCCCCCCCAATATATTGCTTAAAAAATAATTGTTATGCTATGTAAATAAAAACAACAATTTACTAAACCTTGGCCACAATATCTGGACTTGTCTTCATATAAATCAATGCGTATATTTATGTTTATATGATTGTGGTTATGGTTGTACTTTATCAATCCCTAATCTCTGCCATTACATACAATGCAACAAGGAATTGTAAACACGTAAAAACAGAGCAATGTAAATACAATAAACTATTATACATTATTGTAAAAAATAAATATATTAGGCAGGAAATGAGTTTTCAAATTTTGAACTTTTTATAGGTTTGGACCCCCAGACACCCTGGAAGATTTGGTCCCCCCCAATGTTGACTCCATGGCTACGGCCTTGGTGTAAACTTTGGTACTAGGAAGACAAAAGTCGTGGTGTGAGCCACACCACCCCATCGTGTACCATTCCATCCTGAATATTTGCTCACGAACAGCGCTTGCCCCAACATGTTTCGTATGCAAGTTTGAAAGTCTGTGTGCTTATACACCGCAGATATTACTCATTTCAATAACTGCTGTTTAAAAAGTCAAATTGTGGATATAATCTTCTTGGTTCTTTCGGTAAAGCCACGTAGAAGGGAAGTAATAAAATAATGAAAATAAAACATAATAAAATCATTCTCACGACGTTTCGGCTACAACGCAAGCAGCCGTCTTCAGGTGAAGAATGAGACACTGCCAAGCTTGGAGCTTATATATAAGCTGGGTTGGAGGTAGAAGAAGAGCGCCTTGACAAAAGAATGTGCATATCAAGAGGAACCCAGCATATTCATGGGAAATGCGTAGGAGGTGGGCGGGGGGGGGGGGGGTTAATAGTATGTAGAAGCATGTTGCTTCTACATACTATTAACATTCTCTCCCTTTGTTAATGCTACCCCCTACCCCCTCCCTTTGATGCTGCTAATCCTACATAATGCATGGGCATAATATGACTTTGAAACCCCCCTGCCCACCTCCTACGCATTTCCCATGAATATGCTGGGTTCCTCTTGGTGTGTTTTATTTTTATTATTTTATTACTTCCCTTCTACGTTACTTTACCGAAAGAACCAAGAAGATGAATCCCTGCAGTCACGAAAGCTTTAAATCGTGGATATAATGTTTGAACGAAGACACCAATAACTGTCGCTTTCTTTGTCCAGGGAGAGGTCCCATCTGGATGGATGAGGTTGATTGCAGCTCCACTGACACTGACATCAGGAAGTGCAAGTTCATCGGTTGGGGAAACCACAACTGCAACCATAGCGAAGATGTTGGTGTGGCCTGTGTTCCATTGTGATGCAATTCACAACTTCTACTTTGGTGCTCAGCAATGGCGTAACTACGTCATCAGTGACGTAGTAACGACATCATCAGTGGCGTAGTAACTACATAAGCAGTGGCGTAGTAACTACATTATCAGTGGCGTAGTAACTACATTAGCAGTTGCGTAGTAACTACATTATCAGTGGCATAGTAACTACATCATCAGTGGCGTAGTAACTTTGTTATCAATGACGTAGTAACGACATTATCAGTGGCGTAGTAACGACATTAGCAATGGCGTAGTAACTATATTATCAGTGGCTTAGTAACTACATTATCAGCTCAGGAGTACGGGAATTGGTCTGGTGGGGCCCCAACCTTAGATTTGTCTCACACGGTCACACTTATCGCGGCTCCTCTTGTCTAATCACATCATTACGCTCACGGTCTCGAACATTTAATGCTGTAGGGGCACTCCGTCTTCGCAAAATACAGCTCTGCTTGTCTACTCGGTTACACTAAGATGACAACGACATAGAAACAAACGGGTGATGCGCAATTTGCAGAAGCCAAACACAGGCGCTCTAATTGAATTGAAATGAAACGTGGCACGAAAATGAAAGTATTTTCATCAAAATCAATTTAAACCGCGTTTTAAATCAATTTTGTTCATTTACACTGTTGTTGAAAACATAAACCCGTGGTAGTTGTCAAGGGGGTCCCAACTTGTAGCTTTGGCCCTGGTGCCAAGGCACCTCCTGCCCCACGCAAGTTACACTGCCGGTGCTCATTCTGAACCGCAGGTCCTTGGCTGTGACCTTCTACAACCTCCTTTGATTTCTGCCGGTTGTCCAGGTTGGGCTGTGTTCATAATTTCTCCTCTCAAGCTTTTGCCACACACAAGAGTTGGAATCGTGAAGACGTGAAAAACTAACCTTTTTATTTTACCAGGTAAGGCCCACTGAGCTATATAGCTATTTTGCAGAAGCGACCTGGTCACAAATGATAGCTCAACGAAGCGGCTTATCACGTGGAAATGTATAGAACCAAAATACTCTAAACGTGGAGGGGAAAATCAAAGCGAGAACACGCAAACTCCAAACATATAAGCGTCAGGGTCTCGATCGATTCAACGACATCCTGTATACCAGGCGAGGTAGTTAACATCTCGCCCCAAACTCAGGATCTTAGCAGCGCCAGCTCAGCGCTCTGACCTGTCAGCCAGCCAACCACAGACATATCCTTTCCTTTATTAGCACGCATCATATTCAATATGATGCTCAGCCATACAAATATACAAACACAGACATAATTTCAGCCGTGATGACGGTTACAAACTGAGTAATCATTGGAAAGATGTGATTAACCATGCAAAAAAGATTTAACTACACTTATTTGCCCATCTTATTTGACAGACAACCATTACTGTTTTACCATGTTTAGTGGTGGTCTCCCTGTTACAGGTTGAGTCACAAATCGCACCTCTCCATAAGGCTCAGCCTTTGTTATGCAGTCTATTCTTAGTCTCAAGCCTCACCTTACCATATTAATAATAAAGATGCGGCCCATGCCCCACCACCTTCTCCAACCATTATATAAACGCAGTGGTAGCTCCTGCAATCTCTCATTTACTTGATACAGCTGTTGTGACTGTGACGGTACCACCTGAAGACGGAAGCTTGTGTTGCCTCCGAAACGTCGTGATTTTTATTTTTCTTTTATTTTTCTTTTAATGTTTTTACCTACGTGACTTTACCAGAAAAAACCTAAGGATATGAATCATTGCAGTCACGAAAGCTTCAAATCTAGAATTTGGAGCAAGACTTTTTTTTACTTCAACGCTCTGGACATCTGTGATAAAGAGCTTTGTAGCTCATCGGATTCCTCGAGAATATAATACATATTCTGATTCTGAATACGTATTATATATCCTGAAGTATCAGAAGGGGCCTTTTGCCTTCCTCCACAAATATTGAGTTACCAGGAAAGATGTACTCTCTCTCAAGACTCTATTTTTAGGAGAGTTCTGCATGATGACAATTGGACAATGACACTAACGAGTGTGTGGGTTCACGGGGAAGGAAATGCGAGTACCTGGAGAAAACCTACTGCGCATGAAGGGGTTATTCTCAACGCTGTTATCAATGAATAGCACCGTGCCCATAACAGGCGGAAAGCCATGGTAATCACAAAGCCGAGTATTAACCGGCTTAAATCCGAGTAACATCCAGGAGCTGACGAGATTGGACGCTTACAGGGGGATTTGGTCATATCCAATAACAATATTTTAACAATGAGAGTCAAATAAAATAAAAATTAGATATACACGAAAACGTAACGAAATACACAATTGTCATTTCAGGGCAAAATGTATTTGTCGTTGCCAAAATTGTGGGTGACTGTTTACTGAAAGGACTATTATTGTCAACCTGAAATCACTGCAGAGTTGTATTTCAATAAAAATACCAAAATGTCATAGACAATGTAGAAGAGCATAACGACTTAAAATAACGATACAAAATAAGTGTTTATATATTTTTAAGTACATTTACTTTTTACTAAGTATAATTTTCATTAACCAAATACGCATCATGGCTACCACCACATCGAGATAAAGTATGGTAAATTGGTACTTTGAATTGCACATTTCTAGCAGGAAGCAATGTTATTTACGTATTGTGACTATACATTTTTTTTGAAAGTCTTCTTTTTACAGTAAGATTCATAAACATTTTATTCAAATATTAAGTTTCAAGAAAATAGTTTGAGCAATGCTTGGGGTTGTTGTCTTTACACTTTTCAGAAGCACTTTTCTTCACGCTGGTGAGCTTAGTAAAACATATGCAAATATAATCTACTAGCCTTTTGCCCGTCCAAGGACGGGTGTATTGCAGTAAATCTGAAACTTGCAAGCGAAAAGCAGACCGCGGCGTGATATATTCATTGCAACAATTCGTGTGCAATTTGTAAGGCCGCGGTGACACAGACTTATTTCATCTTAAGGTTATAATCCCTTGTTCATCATGACGTCCTTTTTACTTCGATGTCTCAACAGCGTTACGGAGATCACGTGACGTGAGGGTTCTGCCTTGTGAGTGAGGGTTGTGAGTTGACGCCGAGGAGGGGGGAGGAGGCGCCTCGGCCCCCCATGTGGAGTGACGTCACCCGCTCATTATTATGAATGGGGGGGGTCCATTTGGAGGACGTCACCTTATAATGATTCTTAATGAGGGGGGAGGGTGTTCCACGTGGAGTGACGTCAGTAGGCTTGCAAAGTACCATCGTCTTAGAGAAACCAAGCCTACTGGCTATCAACAAAGATACGTTCATGAAGCCATCCATATATAGAGACACAGACACAATTTCAACCGAGAGGACGGTTATAGACTCAGCAATCATTGGAAAGATGTCTTCAACCACTTTGGGTCATGCCTTGACTTGTGTTTCCTTGTCAATCAACCTCCACCGTCAGCAGTGTGGTGTGTGGAGCGGGGTGCAGGGATTTCTTTGCGGCCCTTTGCTGCATTGGCATAGCTGCTGAATTGGCATTGCTGCTGCATTGGCATTGATGCTGAATTGGCATTGCTGCTGCATTGGCATTGCTGCTGCATTGGCATTGCTGCTGCATTGGCATTGCTGCTGCATTGACATTGCTGCTGCATTGGCATTGCTGCTGCATTGGCATTGCTGCTGCATTGGCATAGCTGCTGAATTGGCATAGCTGCTGAATTGGCATTGCTGCTGCATTGGCATTGCTGCCGCATTGGCGTTGCTGCTGCATTGGCATTGCTACTGCATTGGCATTGCTGCTGCATTGACATTGCTGCTGCATTGGCATTGCTGCTGCATTGGCATTGCTGCTGCATTGGCATTGCTGCTGCATTGGCATTGCTGCTGAATTGGCATTGCTGCTGCATTGGCATTGCTGCTGCATTGGCATTGCTGCTGCATTGGCATTGCTGCTGCATTGGCATTGCTGCCGCATTGGCATTGCTGCTGCATTGGCATTGCTGCCGCATTGGCATTGCTGCTGCATTGGCATTGCTACTGCATTGGCATTGCTGCTGCATTGACATTGCTGCTGCATTGGCATTGCTGCTGCATTGGCATTGCTGCTGAATTGGCATTGCTGCTGCATTGGCATTGCTGCCCCGCCCATACTGCTGGTGCTGCTGATACACTTGGGCTACGCCCATCTCCAAACCTTTATAAACAGTTTTCCTTTAGAGGCGAACACCTCTTCCCGATGACGACCGCTTGTGTTGCGATCGAAACGTCGTGGTATTTTTATTCACTTAATTTATATGATTATTTTTTCCCATCGACGTGACTTTACCGAAAGAAACAAATATAATCTGAATTCCTGCAGTCACGAAAGTTTTAAGTCAAAATGTAACATTGGCACCGTCGTCGTCATCATCATCGTCGTTATTACCAGCCATGCTCAATTCACTGCTAGCTGTGGAGGGGACGCCCATCACCACGATGTAACGATGCGATCAGTTCACGTGCAGGAGTGAAATGGATTGTGGCGTGCGGATGAGTTGCAATAGCATGGTGAGGCCTTCATCCACCAGGAGATGAGACGATGGCTGATGATGATGACTCAACAGTTAAATGAGCTGTTGTTCGTGCACAACATACTGGCAATCCGATCACAACAGCGATGGCTATTCATTGCCCAGTTGTTGGTTGTGGTTGGCATTATTCTGGCTAAAATAATAATTTCATCTCTAACCTGGGAAGGCATGAACTCGGGTACAATTTCACAAGGACCCAATGATTCTATGCACGGACCTCCCCTCCCCCCAATAATATAGATTATTTTTTGGTGAGATCGTGTAAATATATAAATGTGTCGGTAAACCCTCCACCACTCGACACAGCCAATTAGTAAGGTTTGGCACGTAAACAGAACATGCCAATTCGTTACTAGTACAGCACACCGGTGTGTTGGAGACCCAAGCCACGACATTTACAATCTGAGTACGACGTTTCGCCAGTAATTACAACTAGCTTAATCAGGCGGACAGCCAGACTTGTGGAGAAATCTTCCTGTTTCGTTCCTTATTGCCTGTGTCGGGTGGTGGCGAGTTTATCGACACATTTGTATATTTACGCGATCTAACCCAAAGAAAATCCTGTGTTATAGAGAAGAGAGCGTTAGCCCTGCGGCTGACAGAGCCTGTAATATTCACCTCTTTGGTATCCTGTGTGCCTCGATAACGCTTCAGGCACATTGACACTTGGAGGTGTTGGATGTCTTCTCGATTTGTGGGTTCTGGGATTTTGAGATGGTGCCAGTTGTCGCTTGATGTATTCTTTCAACTTGGTGACATTAAAGAGTTTAAAAACCTGCATTGGGACTGACAACTCACAAAGACATATTTGTAAGGAACTTTAGGTCGTGGCTTTTGTGTATTTTGAGCAATTGTGGTCACATTTATCTTGGTGCCTTTTTGACATGACAATCAGTGGGAAAGTGACGTCTGAGTTTCTCAACAGTGTTCAATGGCGGAGCATTTCGTTGGCTCGAGCATGCTCATACAAGTTTGAAAATGTAGATTCATATGTTTTCTAAAACAGGGGTTTGAGCAGTGGCACAGTGGTTAGCGCACTACGCTATGAACCCCGTGACCCGAGTTCAATTCCCTACTGCATCAAACATCAGTGGTGAGTGATATATCAACTGATTCTGTCCTCCTCACCCCTCTCTTTACCAACATGAACTCACCATCATGACTGGCATGGCGTACAGAGGACTTCATCCAGCAGTGGATTAACAAAGGGATGACATTGATGATAAAATTACAAAAAGTTACACATCGAATATCTGTAGTTTCCATAGCATGAAAATAATCAATTTATATTTAATGTCAACCGGATATGCATTGCTTAATGCAACGTATTGCGTGGATATATGTGCACACAAACATGGCATTTAATTATATTTATTTATTATCTTCAATGGAAAAAGTGCCTTCAGGCAGTATAGCATTCATGTGATTACATGCCAAGATCCATCCCTGTGTCTTTACGCGAATGTCATTTTCTTTTGCCTCTGATGTCTAACGTAATAGTGATCATTTACATGCCTTTGGCAAGCCACTGCTGAATGAAGGGCCTCACCATGCCTTTAGGGCCTTGAGATTGTTTGACCATACTTCATCATGCTTGTCAATACGGGTTGGAGAATCGGGGGGAAGGGGTGGAGGTCTGGGTCAAAGACCAGTTCAGACATCAAAAGCCACTGATGTTAGCCGTGGTTGAGAGTCGAACTGAGGTCACCAGGTTCACAGTGCATTATATTCACCACTACGGAACCAGTCACCCAACACAGTTATTACAGGAAGCTTAACATTTGTGGAAAAATAAAGCATGGTCACGAAGGGATGAGCTAACAGGAATTACTTTTAAGTAGGGGCACAGGTATATTTTGGAAGTTGGTGGTGTCTTATGAGCATGCCTATGTGCTGATTGTGAATGTGCAGATGTGCTGACTGTGTGAATTTGTATGTGTATGTGCTGAGTGTGTGTGTGTGGATTGACCTTATGCATGCATGTTAAACTTCTTTCACACTGTACGTCGCCAACCGTGTTAATCGGAGGTGCGGGGGAAGGACAACAATCTAAGCACAAAAATCAGTTCTAAAGAAGTGAGTTTTTAATTCAGATGTAAAAGTGCATGGCTCTAGCGGCTTATTAATATCGGAAGGAAGAGCGTTCCAGACGGCCACAAAAGCGAACCTAAAAATCGCTCGACGCGGTGACCACCGCCTTTGTTCGGTGGCTCGCCAAAAGCCGCCGCCGCTACTGCGAGGATGACCGGAGTCAGTTGTGATGGTTCCTTAACGAGATCAGCGACGACATCAGCGCGGTGCTGTGGTTCATTTGTGGCGAGAACTGGAAGTGCAATGCAGATGGGGGCGAGAAAATTTGAGTCTGATTATGGGAAGAGATGGTGGCTGGTGGTCAAGGCCGACAACGGTGTGACCGCCGGAAAAAAGGTGAACGCGCGTGTGAGAGCGGATGTTTTCGCAACCGTGGAGATGGAGCGATAATGCATCATCTTAGCGTGCAAGCAGCCACGTGGACCGTTGCATGACGAGGCCGTGCCGATTGGGCGATGGCTTGGCGAGGCTTTAATCCAGCATTGTTTAGGGAAAGGTTGATGGTGATAATGTCATAGTTATATTTGAAATGAGAATTGTACAATGTTACTGTATAGCATGTCCAGATATGCACTGAGATATGCAGCATAGCTGAAGGGTCTAAGAATGCATTGATTTATGTTGATGCTTAAGCTCATGACGCATATACAGTATTGTGTTGTATGCGTATAGGAATCGATATATTTGTTTTTTATTTCATAGATATATGTAATGAGCCAACACGACCCTCAATGCACTACAGGCCACTACATTAACAACATTGTTTTTTTTTCTCATGATAACATAATCAAGTAAAAGGTAAAAGTGCAACCATGCAATTGCTCATATCACTGCTGGCAGAAAGTCGTCCACTAGAGCCCATCGGGAGGGCATTTGGCCTCGAATCCATGCTGGCCAAACGTCTTGGAAGAGGTTCGAGTACCCACACTTCACCCCGCCGCGCCCAACAAAACAAAGAATCCACAAGGCACAGACACAGCATAGTCAGAAAAACTAAAAGTAACGCAATAGAGTGTTGAACACAAATACGTGTCTTCTTGGTTCTTACGGTAAAGTCACGTAGAATGGAAATAATTAAATAATAAAAATAAAACATAATACAATAAAATAATATAATAATGATTTTTTAAAATTCCATTCTATGTGACTTTACCGAAAGAACCAAGAAGATGAATCCCTGCAGTCACGAAAGCTTTAAATACAAATACGTGTGTTGAAAAGGCTCGACGATGACACTCAAGATATTGGTGCCAGAAAGACGTGGCACTACTTGAGCATACTGTCACAAGACAGAGGAAAGTGAAAACGAACTACGACATCTGCAGTGCACACCCTGGATGGTGATGATGATGACGACGACGTTGCACAGGACTTAGTGTGTGTACGTTTTCGTGTAAAAACATCGATATACATGGAGGGAAAATTTTAATAAAAAGGGACATCGTATTTCGATTTAAAGCTTTCGTGTCTGCAGGGATTAATCTTCTTGGTTCTTTCGGTAAAGTCACGTAGAAGATAAATAATAAAATAATTACAATAAAACATAATAAATGTTTGAATTTTATTATTTTATTATTTCCCTTCTACGTGACTTTACCGAAAGAACCAAGAAGAGGGACATCGTACTTTAGGAGATTTGTTTACACAGTATTTGAAGTAAATAGCACGAGCATGCCCGTGCGTGTAGGCACATGCCCTCTGGGTCTTCCTCCACACGTGAGCTGTCTTGTTGTGTACCCGTTTATATTCCTGGAAGCGGGGGCATTTAAAAATGTGCCCATTTATTTCACCTGTCGCTCCAGGTAAACTAACTTCCCCGCCTTCTTTGGCGTGCTGTCCATAATACCATGGCAGCATCCATTCAAGAGGGTGTGGTGGTCAAACGGTGGTGAATGTAACATTTGCTTTTTTTTACAATGAAAGCTGAGTGTAAAATAGCTTAAACGTCTGTTTCACGAATCGAATAATTAAATGTACATTTTGTATGTTTACCAAGTAAGGCCCACTGAGCTATACAGCTATTTCTAGATTTGAAGCTTTCGTGACTGCAAGGATTCATACTGTTAGGTTTTTTCGGTAAATTCACGTAGGTAAAAAATAAAATTAAAAGTTAATTAAAGTAATAATGGAAATCAATTTTATTCATCCATTCAAGAGGGTGTTATTTGATTTCCATTATTACTTTTATTAACTTTAAATTTTATTTTTTACCTACGTGACTTTACCGAAAAAACCTAACACTATACAGCTATTATTCAGAAGTGACTTGGCTATAACAAGTGATAGCTCAACGCAGCGGCCATTTATGTGGGAATTTATAGCAGCCAAATATTATTAACGCATGTTGATCCTAAATGTGGAGGGAAAACCCGGAGGACCCTGAGAAAAAAAATCAACGCTACCACGGGGAGAACATGCAAACTCCAAATATGCAGGTGTCGGGGGTCGAACCTACGACCTCTTGTATACCAGGCGAGGTAGTTAACATCTCGCCACCGTGGCGCCCAAATAGGTCAGATTTGGTGAATGTTCCACGTTCGTAATGTATGGCAACCAGATGCGTTTTAAATTGGCACGTGAGGTTGTTGTTCCCAGCTTACCGTGTGGTCATATTGTAACCACATCGGCGTCTGGAGCATTGCATGCTTTCCGTAGCGTGCAACTCTTTTGTAAACACGCTGTTAAGATGAAGACCTCCCCGAAGTTTTGTCAATCATAAGGGTTGTTCGTGCATAGCTCACCACGCTGCTCAGTGCGGAATCGTGGTGAAGGACCGGTTCAGATATTAATCGCCACTCATGTTAGCCGTGGGCAGGAATCAGAGGTCGCAAACGGGTTTTGATTCCTTAACAGTACCCGTACCCGGCCGCACCAGGGTCGCAAACGGGTACCCGTTACCCGGCCGTACCCGTACCCTACCCGTACCCGGCCGGGTACGGGTAGGGTACGGGTTTCGGGTACCTGATTGCGACCTCTGGGGCGAAGCCATGTTGCAGGCGCGGGTGGGTTGATTCTAGGAACTTGAATTGTGAGAAGAGACAAGACGTTGGGAAATGAGTGACAAACGGTTACTCACCAGTGACTCACGGTCTACCCGTACCCGGTTGCGACCTCTGGCAGGAATTAAACTCAGTTTTGTCAGGTTCATAGCGCAGCAGTTACGTAGTGTTGGAGGGGCAAGAAAAGGCTGCTGAGGATCATGCCACTCGCCTCCTTCGAGCGTCTTAGAGTCTAGCCACAAAAATGTTGGCGCAGCATTTCATCGAGTACAAAGGCCAGACTGCACAACAGACAGGAGATGATTCGTCTATGTCACCCACCCCCCTTTAAACAAGGTCACGTTGCAGGCCCATAGCCCAGCATGCCAACCAGTTTCACCAATGCTCGTGAAAACAATATATCATTTCCAATAGCAAGGGAGAAGATAAATTAATCCACACACACACATTGAAAGGTAACCACACACCTGCATGGTTAAATATTGGGCGATTTGGCTGCACAGACACAGACTCTTTGGTCGACAGTTGCATTAGCAGGCAGTCACAGGCCGGCTACCTTTGTTATGATTGGGGAATGTGTTTTCTGGAACAGCAGTTTGACATGTGTATGCACAATTGGATGTATTACCAAGGTGTTGTTAACCTGCAGTTTAGCAGTTAAGCAGCAGATGGCAGGGCACCAAAATTAATCCAGGTTTCCTGAACAGGACAGAATGATTTGCCGCGGTGGCGAGATGTTAACCACCTCGCCTGGTATACAGGAAGGCCGTGGGTTACAATCCCTGACCCTGACGCCTGCTGCTGTATATTTGGAGTTTGCGTGCCACTTTCCCCGTGGTCGCGTGGATTTTTATCCGCGTCCTTCGGTTTTGCCAATTTAAAACACGCGTTTAGAGTATTTAGCTGCGATACATTTGCTCTCGATATAAGCCACTTCGTTCAGCTATAATTTGCTTCTGAAAACGAGCTATACAGCTCAGTGGTACTTACATGACAAGATAAAAAATATAGTTTTAGTTGAATAGTTTATTAACGAATGTGGAGTTTTTTTTAAAGACGTAAATGTTATTCGTGTTTTCTTGTTTCCCTATAGCACGCTTGTTTATATAATGGGGCCTTTCTGCCAGTATCAAAAGTATGAAAAATTTGAATAACTTTTACCCTTTCTGACAATATACCAAGAGGTGTTAAGATGTTCAGACACCAAATAGAAACATTTTTGAAAGGAATAAAGTTTGCATTATACTCTTTGAGGGAGGCTTGTGTTGCCTCCGAAACGTCGTGATTTAATTGAGTTGTTTTCATTAATTTTATTAATTGTTTTACCTACGTGACTTTACCGAAAACAAACAAAGAGTATGAATCCTTGCAGTCACGAAAGCTTCAAATCTAGAATTAAAGTCTGCATTAACCACAGGTACTTTGTGGTAAACATGCAAACACAAACATGATCTGATAATAATAATGATGTATGCACTGTCTTTGAAACTGATTGGCCGACACCAGAGATATCAGCCTTCTTTATGGCCGCGTCTCACCAGCAGTGTCACACCAGAGAACAACAAAAGATTAACAGTGCAATGACAATGCACGTGTAGGTGAACGGTGATATCGTAAGATCTGCTAAATCTGGTGGTGGGTGTACGTATATATGTTGAACTCGTTTCGCACCGTAGCAGACAATCTAGAATACAAAAACACTTTTTGGGAGTGCGAGCAAACTGCACACAAAAAGAACACGAACATTTATGTCGGGTATTTTTTTGACGTTACAGAACTTTATTGCTGTAATGGAAGTACAAATTTGAAATCGTATAAAATTAAAAAGCACTCAAATATTGCTACACCTTGCATTGTGGTACAAAAACAAACCCCCCCATATTTTCAGAAACATGCTTATTTACGTTCAAAAACTAAGCACGTAACTCTTATTTTAGCGTTTAATAATGCGGTGAGGAAATGGTCGACAACAAAAATAATGTTTAACGCTTAGGACGTTCTAACGATGCAATATACACATTTTCAATACATGTTGCAATACACACAAACTTGTAGATCATATTTTTCTTCCAATAACGCCGTAACGATATATTTTATCTCCTGCTCAAAACAACCTTGACTAACCTCTACACGTGAATGCAGGTTCTAGCCCCATCACTCAAATAACAATTGCAAATATAGTTTTTCGCAATTAACATGGATGACGCCAATTCACTTTGTACGATTCACACACCGTTTCTTCAACCATATGCGACGTGCTTACTTCCTCAAACCAAACGACTTCCAACACTTGTCTTTCATCTTTTCGGCAACGCAAGGAAACGTTTAAGAGCCTTGGCGATGGGCAATACCATACTTCCGAGTGAAAAAAAAACCCCGATTCTACTGTAATTATGAGCTCTGGACACTGCTGCTACTTTATCAGTTCAATGATTGTACTACCTGGTGAACTACTCTAGATTACTTAAAGTGCCCTGGCATTGTGAAGTATTTAGAATAAGTTACACTTGTGGCATTGTTTTATACAAAAGCATACACAGTATTATTACTGCTAATGTACAATCATTAAAAAAGAAATCCGTAAAAAAATGACAAAAAATCCACGCTCTCACTGTTGTACGTATGGTGCTAAAAATATATATAAAAGCAAAAAATCCCGCTCCATTGACCTCTATAACGTACCGACTTATTATTATTATGAATACGTGCTAGGTATTTACAAAGATGGCAATTCACGCGAGGCCTTGGTATGTACTTAACACCACAACTCAGGGACGCAAAGGTCTGATAGCATCTCACAAGACGACCTTGGGCAGCCCTGTTCGCACTTGGGCCAGCGATCTTGGTTCCGTCACGCAAGCCCGCAGCCATCCTCACCAGAAGTCGCAACCGGGTACCCGATACCCGTACCCTACCCGATACCCGGCCGGGTACGGGTAGCCGTTTGCAACCCTGGTGTGGCCGGGTACGGGTAGGCCGTGAGTCACTGGTGAGTCACCGTTTGTCACTCATTTCCCAATGTCTTGTCTCTTCTCACAATTTAAGTGCCTAGAATCAACCTACCTGCGCCTGCAACGTAGCTTCATCCCAGAGGTCGCAATCAGGTACCCGATACCTGTACCCTACCCGTACCCGGCCGGATACGGGTAGGGTATGGGTACGGCCGGGTACGGCCGGGTACGGGTACCCGTTTGCAACCCTGGTGCAGCCGGGTACGGGTAAGGAATCAAAACCCGTTTGCGACCTCTGCTCCTCACCCCAGCGCTTGAGTAGCGGTAAACAGCAGTGACCCGTGCCAAGCCGCCTCCTCTAAGATTGGTCAGACGATTCTAGATTTGAAGCTGTCGTGACTGCAAGGATTCATACTGTTAGTTTTTCGGTAAAGTCACGTAGGAAAAAAATGAAATAAAAATTAATGAAAATAAAATAATAATAAATCACAACGTTTCGGAGGCAACACAAGTCTCAATCATCAGGTGGGACCGTCACAGCTAAATTTGCTGTATCAAGTGAGTCCCACCTGATGACGGAGACTTGTGTTGCCTCCGAAACGTCGTGATTTTTATTATTAAATTTTTATTATTTATAAATAGTATTTTTTACTTACGTGACTTTACCGAAAAACTAAGAGTATTGGACAGACGCTTTCCTGTCGCGCGGGTAGCACGAGTCGAGCTGCGATTACGATGCATGGAAGCATTTAGATTCGGCTCAATATAGGCAACCTGATGGGATAGATTCGTACATATGGCCACGTTAATGCGGGGTTTAAGAAAACAAAACTACCTTGATGAAGAGCGATATGGTGTTCCTCGAAAATAACGATTATCTAGAGTTGTGTTCTTCCTTAGGGGAATAAAATCTAGAGCATGAAAACTACTCTTTGATGTAAAATACAGTAAACAAAAATAATGTCGTGCAGACTTATGGGAGTTGATTGCAGCCAAAAGGTTAGGGTGACACAATTCAATGCTTATTTTATCACGGTTAATTGGGAGATGCGTCACGAAACTAGAAATATGTGAAAATGTGGTCTCGTTGTTGTGGTAACTTTATAGTCTTTGCCATTCCTTTAATTTATGATTCTACATGTTCAAGACACCGTGACCCAATTATACGTTCCCTTTATCAGGTCAAGCCGTACCTGAATGACTAAAACGTTTGGATTGCTACTCAGTTGAACACGTAGGCTTTTCGCGACCAGTATTATTCATAATAAAGGTTTTTGGGTTAGATCGCATATTTACAATAACGCGATCTAACCCAAAAACCTTTATTATGAATGAATTGCTACTCAACAGCTATGTTTCACTTTTAATAAGAAAGAGTGGTTCTGTTATTAGCACGGAGCACATCAATCTGTGCAACTGAAACCAAGATCACGCGCAAAACACGGTTCAATGAAATCATGAGTTTCGTCAAATTCTAAGTGGTATAAACTAACACTCAATGAAGAGTGTTCGTTGATGTGAAGTGTTAGAGCATGCATACTGAATAGTTGTTTGCAGTTCATTACAACCCCGCTTATAAATCCTTCACACAACATTTATTTTATCGTATGCTCTGCTTTCTGTTCATTCCTTACTAGTCCCTGAGAAAATCGTCCTCTCGAAAAAAAAATAAAGTTTCGTTTGTATAACTTGGCACTGTTTACGCGGGCATTGGGAGCACACCGTTCCAGGGCAGCGGTCCTCAGTTTCATCAGAATTTGAACAGATTGATGAAGGCTTGCGGGGAGAGTGGAATGTAGGCACACTCAGGATTATTAGCTGTGCAAGGGTGGCCAGTGTCCTGAAAAAGAACACGCACACACACACAGCAACACACATCAAAACACTGGGTTTGGGAATTTCGTTTCTTTTCACAGTTAATGTGTGTCCATTTAATCACCGAAGTGAGCTGCAATCAGATTCGTTTTATAGTTTGGCCAATAACGTTGTATTAAAAAAGAAAAAAAACAGAGAACATCTGTCTGAAATTATCTTGTTCATGCTCTAGGATGTGTTTTTGGGAGTCGTTTCTCGCTTGGTTCGGCACAATGTCTGACGTTTCACTCGGACGTGCTGGGAGCTTCTTCAGGAACTGAATTCCATTCTTCGTGAACTGAATTAATATCCATCTCTAAAAGAAGCTGCCAGACATCATGCCGACAACACGTGGAGCAACCCTCAAAACAGACGAGAGTGCTCCACAGAATAACCACAAAAACGTACACGCGGTCATTCATCTCATTTTGTAGCATCATACCGCCCCATACCACTCGTACAGAATGAACTGGCAAGGCTAGGAGAGCAGATTGTCCACAATGCCTTGCTAACGAGGTCAACAGGTATCCGCACTAGATTTGAAGCTTTCGTGACTGCAAGGATTCATATTTTTAGGTTTTTTCGGTAAAGTCACGTAGGTAAAAAAATAAAATTAATAAAAGTAAAATAAAAATAAAATAAAAATCACGACGCACCAACCTTACCATAATAATAAAAGGGGGCCTGTCCTGGCCCATCCCCCCCCCCCCTCAACCAGTATATATACGGGGTAGTATATCTTGGAATTTCTCATTTATTTAATACAGCTATCATGCTGTGACGGTTCCACCTGAAGACGGAAGCTTGTGTTGCCTCCGAAACGTCGTGATTTTTCTTTTATTTTTATTTTATTAATTTTAATTCAATTTTTTTTTACCTACGTGACTTTACCGAAAAAACATAAGAATAGGTATCCACACCCCAGTGGTGACCTCTCTCACCTTCCAGAAGAGCACGTGGCAGTGGCGGCAGAATTGCGGGGTGTCGCCATACTCTTCCTTGCGTGGGTAGCAGCGCTGCATCTTGAAGTACATTCTCTGCCAATCAATCTGCCCTTTGTCGTTCAACATCAGGCGCCTGCGGAACTGCAAACACAGACGGACAACACGGCAATTTGAAGCGTGAGCTGGGATCTTGAGGTTCACCGCGCCTCTGGCAACGGGGGAGCTGCCTTTTCTAATACACGCTTTTTATTAACTCACTGTCTGTCGTTGTCGTATCCTCAAATCTTGTAACTCAATTCTAACTCACTTCCCAATGTGGTATGGACTGCAATCTTGGTATACTTATGTCATACTGATGACAATACTATATTCTATCATAAAAAAATATATTTTTATATTTTTATACATTATTTTTTATGTTATTTTTCGGCTTGGGTCTAATTGTCCACGCTCAACTCACGTTGGCTGTAAACTACCACGGCCCCTTACGTTGTGGCAAGCTACGGGGCCACTTCCTGGAGTCGTGGAGTTCTGCCATTACGAGTACGGTACATTTTATGAAAGCGTGTCTTTAAAAAAGTTTGTAAAAATATAACTTTTTTGCTGTTAAGATATGTAATAATTTGCATGTTTTTGTTCATGGGGTTGTTTTGACTATACTTCACTACGCTGGTCAGTGCAGAACGACTCAGAGGGGGAACACCCACGACCGGTTTCGACATCACTTGCCACTGACGTTAGCCATGGCAGGGATTTGAACTCGCCTTGCCGGGTTCACAGCACAATACACTAACCGTTGCACCACCACTCCATCCCCTTACCGTGATGCATTGAAATGTATTAACATTTTGTTATTTAATCGCAGGTAATTTTAAAATGCGGGGATGTGAAGTATGGCTTTACATACAATGACCCACACGTGTGAACAATTATTCAGGTTTTTTTACACTTCATACAAGAGATGCCATGCTTAATTATTTCCCTGTAGAATTCAAATCACCGACTGTGCAAACTGGCTGTATGACAAGCGTAATGAGCCTTGCGGATACCTGCTCGCACACCGTCAGAATAAAAGCAGCGACGCTGTTAGGGAACTTTAGAATGATTTCTGTGAAAATTCCCACTTGAAGACCTTATACTTTGAATTCTGTACTTCATTGTTCTCTGCTACCAAAGGTATCTTTTCTTTTATCTCAGACCAGTTAATCATTATCACATGCGAGTAAGCAACAAGATAAACATGTTCTGAGTTTAAGGGTTGCAAAGCAGTCTTAAAAAAAAAAAATCCAACCCCATTAAGACGTATTTTAATGTGGCTTCGATTCCAGACGTTAACAAATCCTTGCCATGCTTGTCAGATAGCTACCGATATAGTATAGACATTATGTATAGTATGTATGCAATTATGCAGTCCTAATCAAACGCAGCTAACCTTTACAACATCACATGTGGCAGACAAGGTAATAGCAGCACATTCGCACGAGGCACTAGCAGTGACATATACAGCTGTGTAATTTTAACCGTGGAAAAAAATGGAGGAAAAAAAAAAAACCTCACTGGCATGACAAGGACATCGTGTCCAGCTACAACACTGAAGTCCACTACATTGAGCAACGCACGCTCATTGGACATTCTTTTGTTTTATTTTTGGACCGATTTAACTGGGCTTCCAGAAAACACGACGAAAAAAAATACCCACTGCACACCTGTTTGTCCGAATTGACAGCTCCCCCCCCCCCCTCCCCAAGCTCACGTAGAGTTTACATCAAAAGTAAACACTAATGAACTAAACAATCAACGGTGGACCTCTGCGATTATTCTAAAGGAAGCTATAACCAATGTAGATTTAAATGAAGTGCTGATTAATAAAACACCTTGCCCTGACTACGTGTTGCAGGCCACACTTCAAGACTGGATAAAAATTGATTTGAAGCTTTCGTGACTGTAGGAATCCATACTCTTTGGTTCTTTCGGTAAAGTCACGTAGGTATAAAATAAAATATATCACGACGCTTCGGGCGCAACACAAGTGTCCGTCATCAGGTGGGAAAGGGGTGACGGATGCTTCTGGGAAGGAAGAGCGTTCCAGACGGCCACAGAAGCGCATCTGAAAGCGCAGGGCGATGCGGTGACCGTCTTTGTTCGATGGCTCGCAGCCAAAAGCCACTTGCGGGGGATGACAACGTCTCCCTGAACTATACTAGGCCCTTCAAACCAAGCTCGCGGGACCACCATTTTGTGCAGTTACCACTACCCCTTCTCGAAGGTGGCTTTTGTACCTGGCGTTCTGTGAAGTGGTACTGGCAGAGGCGTTTCCACAGCAGGCGGTCCTCGGAGAGTCCGCTGAGGCGAGCCGACACGCGGCCCACGCTCAGGATGTCGCGCCCGTCAGCCAGGCGCCGCAGAATGTTGAGCTGCATGTCCGCCGGGAGGTCAACTAGAGTCAGGCCTTCATCTTCTCTCTGGTCCAGGGAACACAAACAGAATGGCAGTGCTCTGATCAGCGTCGGGGCAAAATATGCAACAGACAAGCATTGCGAGGAGAATTGTTTTACCAAGGCACAAATATTATAGGTTGCATTGTTCAGTCTTTAACTGCCTTGAGATAGGCACAAGGGTAAATGTGCAGCCCTGCAATTCCTTGCTCATGGCCACGCAGCTAACAGAAGGGTTTCTACTCGAGGAAGCTCTGGAAAGCCACGTTTTTGGGGAGTAGTTTGGCCTATTCTTCAATGCTGACCAGATATTGGAAGAAGTGGCAGTACCCACACTTTAACCCACTACACGCAACCTGCCAATCGACTAACTTGGAGTCGTACCATGTATACTTATGGGTGGGCAGAGGTGCGAGGATTTAAGAAACTTGCCCTTGAAATTCTAGATGTGCAAAAGTGCCCCTATGGTTCAGAAGACAAGCAGTATTTGTACCTAGATATGAGGTCAAGAGGACTTTTGGTGGAAAGAAAAAAATGTAGCAATAACACGAGCCTGACATTGAGTTCCAGGCTAAATAATTGGTGCTCACATGGAAGCGAACAATTGAAAAAGGAAGAAATTACTTGAATGAAAAAAATATGGCAAAAATGCGCAGCTCAAGTCAATGTGGAAAAATAAAAGTGGCTATTTTCTGGAATAAATTATCTCCGGACAACTATTTATAAAGCTTTCATTTTGTGTTGCTCACATCACAGGAATATTTCATATATTCACTTTGCAAACCACTGAATATCCCATATATAAATTTTGTTTTGTTAAAAAGCTGTCCCGAATTACTGAAATCGTAATACATATTCTTAGGTTTTTTCGGTAAAGTCACGTAGGTAAAACATTAAAATTAATGAAAGTAAAATAAAATAAAAATCACGACGTTTCGGAGGCAACACAAGCTTCCGTCTTCAGGTGGAACCGTCACAGCACGATAGCTGTATCAAGTAAATGGTAGCTCCTGCAATCTCTCATTTACTTTATACAGCTGTCGTGGCTGTGACGGTTCCACCTGAAGACGGTTCCACCTGAAGACGGTTCCACCTGAAGACGGAAGCTTGTGTTGCCTCCGAAACGTCGTGATTTTTATTTTATTTTACTTTTATTAATTTTAATGTTTTACCTACGTGACTTTACCGAAAAAACCTAAGAATATGAATCCTCGCAGTCACGAAAGCTTCAAATCTAGAATCGTAATACACGTGGCAACTCAGACGAGCGAGATCAGTCTTGGTTACGATAATGGCTTCCAAACCTGACATGAGGAAACAATGCAGATTTGGCATTTCACGTTTCTGCATTCAATGGGTATTGAAAAAAAGAAAAAAATCTTTGCTGTTAGAACCTGCAAGTGCAATAGCCAATGCATCTGCATTGAACTCCGCATGACTATATTTGGGCAGCACATCAACCTGCAGATTGTTCTCATTTTCAGCCCATATTGGTTTCAACCGCATAATTTTTCATTGATGATAGACTTTCACTAATGAAAACTATTTAAACAATTGTACGCTTTATCCCCTTCCAGAAAAAAAGAATAAAGAAAGGTATCTCTAATTAATGCTATTTTAGCATGTTTTCAATTGCTTACCTTTGTACAAAATCTGTTTCCACTTTAAGAAAGAAAAAAAAAAGCCACCCCACTCCCGTGTTCTTTCACTGCCAGGAATTGTGGCTTTGTAAAACATAACCGTCGTGGATATTTATTTTAAATAAGTCAAAATCTGTGCTTGATTTATTCGCATTTGTTTAAAAAAAAAGTGCATTTGTACTTGAATCGGGCCACATTTACCAACATACGAATGCCGGCATAATAAAACACCAATCGTGGAGCGCGAGCATATCAATAATTGGGCCATGTACGTAAAGAGGGCACTAAGAAGGCCATGCAATGTTCTCTTCCACAGAGAGATTAGTTCTACTGCGTAGGCTTCCGTGGCTGTGCTGTATATAGCTGTCCTGACAGTGCGCGCGGCTCAAGCGGGCCATTTCAATTAAGTTCGTGAAGAAGCTCCCAGAACGTGGAGCAGGAATGCAGGACACCAAGTCGGACAACATACGGTATATGCACTATCAGAGAGAGCTGTTAGTAGTGTGAAGCCAACGTGTCAGTGATTTACTGCTCAAAAGAGCACTGATAATCTCAGCATTGCGTTCAACTTATTTGGCTACTGTAAACTTCCACGTAATGTACTTCGTTGAGCTATCATTTGTGGCCAGGCCGCTTCTGAAAACGAAGGAAATAGGTCAGTGGGCTTTACCTGGTAAAATAACCATGAATATATTATTATTATTGATTTACTTACCTTTCCTATATTTTTAAATCCTTTATATTAAGTTCACTTGCTTGCTTGCTTGCATGCTTACGACCGTGCAAATCTTTCGGTCTTTTTTTAACCCATTTCCCGTGATCCAATCGAGCTGACATTTTGCACAGACTGGTTGTGCGTGACAATTTATTTTCGTTAAAATTGTTTTCCAAAATTTTACACTTTTTAGGAAAAAATCAATTATATTTAATTACCAATTGCTTAATGGTGGCAGGCAATCATCTGACCCATAGGTGGCAACCATCTCAAGCCAGAGGACGAGAGGACTCTAGCCGCCACGCATATAAAGGATTTATAGTGAAAAACTTTGTTTTTACGGGTTAATTTTTTCACTTCTATCGTGTTTTCGAATAGTTCGTTATTGTAGCTGTCTGATCCGCCCCTCCTTGACGTCTGAAAACCGCTTTATAGCTCATCAGATTCCTCCAGGATAAAAACAGCTTCTGATACAGCCCCGGGTCAGTGGTGGAAATTCCACTGTCCTATGATGGGGGCGAGTCTATTGACAAGCAAGCCACGGTTGACTTCCTGACTAATTCATGCTTATTCTTTCGACTCTGAAGGGTTGATGGGCAGTAGAAGTAGTGTAAATGTTGCTTAGATACCCACACAGCATTGTTCTCCTGGACATCTGTGAAAAAATAATAAAAATATAAAACAATAAAATTCTCACTATTGTTTTATATTTTTATTATTTCATTGTTTCCCTTCTACGTGCCTTCACCGAAAGAACCAAGAATATGTTTACACTGTTCAAAGCACTCATAAGCGAACACTCGTTTTGAGACGGGAGGGTTACTCACGGCTGTGATTTGAATATGCTTGAGCTGGTAGTGCCACTGCAGGATGCTCTCCATGCGCAGGTACCACAAGTTAATGTTGCCCACGAGCACAGACTTCCCCACGCCTTCCACCAGCTGGCACAGAGACGTGTGCAGACCCTGCAGGAGCTCTTTGATCAAGCGGATGTTCTCCTGGTCCTTGAGCACTGCATCACACGGAATGCAACACGCAGGCAGTTGGCAAGCGCTTCCATCTTTGTCCTCCGACAGCGGCTAAAACGCAATATTATGTTTTTATTAAAACAACTTTGTTGAATACTTTGGACAAAATCCTAGGCAAGGAATGGCCATGATTATTTGGGCGAAGCACAATTTAATGATAGTTTAAACAAACTTTATTGTGCACCCAACGGAGCGGTAAATTTGATGTTTTCAAAACTGTAGCCGTTAGATCTTTAGGGGATACTGAAATCCATGCGCTGTATCTGTAAAAATATTTGATTTGAGTATTTCACGATCTTTTTCGTTGGCCAAGTTAGTTGGCCAAATCCGGAGCGTACTTTAAGTTGAACATTAAGAGGAGGGTAATACCGCTAGCAACGTGAGTCAAAGAGAATGACTGACCAATGGCCTTATAACTAACCTGAAAATAGAGGTACAATAACATATCTCAGTACAAACTGCAATATAGCTAATAACACATATATATAACTGCCGTATGAATCTGCAATGGGTGTTTTAAATTCTCAAAAAGTGAAATCCAGTTGTTGTTCTCACATTGGCCGAATATATTTTTTTTATTGGCCAAACATTAGGGACAGCCAAGGTAACAGATACCATTTGTTGATCAAATGAAGACTGCACTGGACTGCCAAAGAATTCTGGTAAGCACCGATGGCCTCATTCCCCCCTCTCTACCCCCCCCCCCCATCAGAACAATCTGCCAAGTCACCCTTTAAACAATGTGCCCCCCCAGAACTGTGCACCTCACGGGTTAAAGGCCACACACGCTCACTCACCTTTGTTAACAATCTTTTCCAGAATGTTGAAATAGTTTTTCTGCGCGGCCCCACTTAAAGAGGTCAGTTGGCTCTGCGCGATGAGCTGCAGAAGCTGAGAAAAGAAAAGAAATGCGGCACTCCGTTGCAATGGTTATTTTTTAAACAACTATATGGCACATTTCGATTTAAAGCTTTCGTGACTGCAGGGATTAATCTTCTTGGTTCTTTCGGTAAAGTCACGTAGAAGGGAAAAAAAAATAATAATACAAATTTATATTATATTCTATTATTTTTTTATATTATTTTATTATGTTTTATTTTTATTATTTTATTATTTCCCTTCTACGTGACTTTACCGAAAGAACCAAGAAGATGTATGGCACATCTAAAAATGTACGTTCATATATGTTGCGCATTCGTGCTGCGCGAGCAACGTTAGCATGCTACGCAGAAGAGAATTCCGCAGGCAGTTGCTATCCTGTATAAACACCGCAGCGAAAGTTTCCTGCAAGTGAATATGTTACGTCACTTCATGCTTCTACAATCGCATTGCTGTTGTGTATGCGATGCGGTGTTGGTGAAACAGTGCATTTTATGTTTCTGTGTCAAGGGAAGTACGCCGTATAAATGTTTGTACCAAGTATGCAGTTTATCAGCCCGTAAATTATCAACATGTTCGCTGGCAAAAAAAACAAAAGTGTTAAGCACCTCTGCCACGACAAAACATCGGTTATAAAACCCGACTTTGCACAGGTCCACTGGCACTGAAACGCGATATGTTTATGGCATTGCTGCGAGCCCTGTTTGCTGCACGATGTCATTCCAGTTGCACATGGCCAAACGAAAATGTCAACAGAGCCTCAGCCTGGACAAGAGAGAGTCCTCGCATCCCCCCCTTCCCCCCACCCAGTCCGACCTCCCCCCACCCCCCACGTCTGACCACGAGTGTTGGTGTGGGGCACGCGCCCGCTGCATCACATGGCGAAAGCCAAACAGCAGTAACTAACGGGTCACCTGCCAGGACAAAATTAGCCCCACGATGCCACGTGGAAAATCACTACTGCAGCCCACCGCTGGTGGTCTCGTAGCAGTGAATGCACACATATACACACACACAGCACCGAACGCGTCTCCCGTATCCTTCTTTAACAACACTCAAGGCTTTTCCTACCCCCCCACCATCACCACCACCAGCAACCTCTGTAGGTTGTGCAGCTGTTACGATCGCTCAATGATTGAGAAAACATATCCGTAAGGATTGAGTGGCAATTGTGAGAAATACTTTTTTTTTAAAGGGAGCTAGCTTTCTTTTTGAATTGCAGTTATAATTGTTGATATTTCGTGTGTTTGGTAAAATAATGTTCTTGATATATTTCACAAGCCACAGTGCGTTCAAAGAATAAAAGAGCGTGCAATAGGTTGAACAGGCTCGTCCTGAGCAGTAAACACTTGTTATAAATGCAGTTAATTATGAACGAATAGTTCAAGCTTAAAGCCATGGTTAAATATATTAAACACTAAGTGGGGGACGCATTTGTCACTAGGCAATTTAAATTATTTTTTTTGAAACCGTTCTACGGTTTTATTTTAAGTTAGACATGTGATATAAGTTCAACCTGAAGTTTGACAGTTATATTTTGCATTATACACTATAAATAATAAACTGGTACAATCACCAAAATATTATCCTCCAGCATAATGTAATCTTACTTTGGATTAGGGCTAAAAGTTGGCCAGGAGATGGCAGTGCACTGATAATTAAGCCCCTCTTGTTCATGGGGTTTCTCTGGTAATGTGGTTTCATCTCACATGGCAAACATTCATTCATGGAATTGGCCAAAAATACCAATGCAGAATCCTGAGAATAACGTTTTTATTTTCCAGTATAGCTTTTCATTATAATATCTTGGCCTACTATAGCACGACGCTTGGGAGTGATAATATATAAGACCACTGAATATGACACTCACTTTTTTTTTAATCGGTGGGAGGCTTAGGTTTCCTACAGCCCACCATAACCTCAAAATAATCACCTAGATTTTAGATGGAAAATACGAGCCCATAAAAAAAACATTCCATGACAACAGGCAGATAGCCGTGAAATGGAAAAACAAGTACTGCACATAAATCATTTTAGAAAATAATATAATTGTTCAGCGTGCGAAATGACCACACGTTAATTCTCCAACTAAGCCTATACTTGCTAACTAAGAACGAAGAATCTTCTTGGTTCTTTCGGTAAAGTCACGTAGAATGGAAATAATAAAATAATAAAAATAAAACATAATAAAAATAATTCTCACGACGTTTCGGCCACAACGCAAGCAGCGTCAGACTCTGTCTCAGAGTCAGACTCTGTCTTCTCGACAGACCTGTTCTTCACCTGAGGACGGCTGCTTGCGCTGTGGCCGAAACGTCGTGAGAATTATTTTATAATGTTTTATTTTTATTATTTTATTATTTCCATTCTCCGTGACTTTACCGAAAGAACCAAGAAGATGAATCCCTGCAGTCACGAAAGCTTTAAAATCGAACAAGAACGAAGAAGATCAACATCGACACATCTTCTTGTGGAAAGAGGTCCTTGACCAAAACCTCTGTGGTGATCCGAGGGACAAACCTCATGCATCACATTAGCCACCACATTATTACGTGCGAAATTACTCCACTGCGTCTGTGTGCGAAAGTGTGGCAGATAAAATTATTCATAGAACCGCAGAGTCATGTGTAAACTCGTGGGCAATAGGGTTGCGGACAATAGTTCTTCTGTAAAATGTTACATACTACACGAGAGCTACATTGCTTTCGACTGTATGAAATGTAGAAATTGCGTACTACTGCGCGCATATATATTGAATAATTCTAGATTTGAAGATTGCGTGACTGCAAGATTTCATATTCTTAGGTTTTTTCGGTAAAGTCATGTAGGTAAAATAATAATAATAGTAATAAGATTAAATCATAATAAATGAAAAATAACTCAATTAAATCACGGCGTTTCGGAGGCAACACAAGTCTCCGTCTTCAGGTGGGACCATCACAGCTACAGTTGATACAGTAAATCTGGCTGTGACGGTCCCATCTGAAGACGGAGACTTGTGTTGCCTCCGAAACGTCGTAATTTAATTGAGTTATTTTTCATTTATGATTAATTTATCATTATTATTATTTTACCTACGTGACTTTACCGAAAAAAACCGAAGAGTATATTGAATCAATTCGTTGAGAGCACGTAGCAACAGCACTGCGGGGTGAGTCACATGGTTCTGAAAGTGTTTACTCGCTGGTCAATTTCGAGTCATTACAGACAGTCATGCGGAGCTCTAAAATAGAATTGGACTGGTATATCCCTCTGTCTGTCAGCTGTTGCCAGGAGTAATGCAACGGAAGACATGGGGACTGCACAGGAGTCTCATTCAAGCTAGCTAGTCCACTCGACGTTTGCTCAACGCTGTCCAGCTCGAGGTGTCGTTTTAACCACCGACAATGAAAGTGTTTCCAGGTGGCCGAAGCTGTGTGTGTGTAATCTCCTAATTGCAAAATACCACCGGACAAGTTTTGTTTTTGCACATCACAGTAAGTTTACAATGTAAACATTCACTTGTGTAGCGTTTCATGCAAGGACGTTAATACTGACTCTTGCAATATGTATGACGGTTCCCCTACTGAATTCCAATAGATTAGTGTGTGCGCGTGGCAATGTAAGCACGACAAATATGCAACAAATACATTACTGTGCCCACTCGCTAATGCAGTGCGAATTCAGCCAATGAGGATTGTGATGTTCTGCCAAAAGTAATGTGCCTCTCGTGTTTTTTTTGTAAATCTAGGTGATTAAATGTGTAGCGAGGTTTATGAACATCACAAAGTTTCAAAACATCTAATACAGTAGAAGCTGCGTGTGCGTACACCCCTTGCTTACAACCAAAGCAGTTTCAAAATCAGAAGTTGCCCTTCGACTTGCCCAACCAGTAAGAACGTGCTTATTTATATTAGAGCTGCGCTTTATATGAGGTGTGCTTATATCCAGCAAAAGAAAACCGATCGCCCTGAAAGCTATGTACACACCATGTGGAGCATGTGGCAGGGCGACCGCACAATCACCAACAACGCCTACATCTGCAGTGAGTTGGCCTTGGGTGACAGGCTACACAACTCCACGTGATGGTAAGGTGAACCTCGTGAAATCAACACTGCTATCCAAGCAAGCAAAAGCAACAGCTGTTTTGACCACTTTTTTTTTTATCACAGCCCAAGTGCTGGCAGGCCGATTTCAAAGTCAATCAAGAATATAGACATTTCGGGCTATACTCTTTTCATAAAATCATAGATGTTAATATGTTTTGGAAGGTTCTCGATTTATGTGAACATATACTAGGATTTTTTTCATGCATAGTGCCGTGGCCACTTTTTGTGTCTAAATTTGTAGCTGAACCAGAGGTCGCAAACGGGTTTTGGATTCCTTACCCGTACCCGTACCCGGCCACACCAGGGTCGCAAACGGGTACTCGTACCCTACCCGATACCCGGCTACCCGTACCCAGCCGGGTATCGGGTAGGGTACGGGTATCGGGTACCCGATTGCGTCCTCTGAGATGAAGCCATGTTGCAGGCGCGGGTGGGTTGATTCTAAGAACTTGAATTGTGAGAAGAGACAAGACGTTAGGAAATGAGTGACAAACGGTTACTCACCAGTGACTCACGGCCTACCCGTACCCGTACCCGGCCGCACCAGGGTCGCAAACGGCTACCCGTACCCGTACCCGGCCGGGTACGGGTAGCCGGGTATCGGGTAGGGTACGGGTATCGGGTACCCGATTGGGACCTCTGAGCTGAACCTTGGCCATCTCCATACTGGATGAATAATTTACAACTGGTTTTTGCACTTACCCGTACAACGTAGGTGAAGCGCCGTCTGTCATGGATTGCAGCAGAAAAGTCGAGTCGATTAAACGCCTCTCCCAGGGTGCAGTAGCCGTGACGCTGAAACATAAACAGATTTCACGGTCACATTAATTGACAAGTTGGTTATTTGGTCATCGTTCACAGCCCAATTATGATTGCTTATGTAACTGTTGGGTGGCCGGAGTGGTGGCGAAGTGATTCGTGCACTTGGCAACCCGAGTTTGATTCCCGGCCACAGACATCACAGGCGAGCGATATGTGACCTGGTGGGCCCTCCCTCCCACCCTTCCAACAACCCACACTGCCTTGCGTGGCAAGCACAGTCAAACAACTCCTGTGACCGAGAGCCATCGGAGCACGTCATCTAGCAATGGATTTACGGAGGGATTTAAATGATCTACACGTGTTATTATAATTAGTCAATTCGGTATGATTGCAACGCTTATAGTGCACGGCTATCACAGATGAACTATTGTATACTGTATGCCAGCAGGGGGCATGGTTACTACACCCGCAATATTAACCTGCTCTGCCGCCAGACGAACAATAGACCTCTCTAACAAGTGGCAAATGCGCTAACCACTCCACCATTTTTTTGGTTATTTCGGTAAAGTCACGTAGAAGGGAAATAATAAAATAATAAAAATAAAACAATAAAATAATTCTCACGACGTTTCGGCCACAACGCAAGCAGCCGTCCTCAGGTGAAGAACAGGTCTGCCGGAAAGACAGTGTCTGAACCCATTCAGACGGCTGCTTGCGTTGTGGCCGAAACGTCGTGAGAATTATTTTATTGTTTTATTAGTATTATTTTATTATTTCCCTTCTACGTGACTTTACCGAAAGAACCAAGAAGATGAATCCCTGCAGTCACGAAAGCTTTAAATCGAAATCACTCCACCATTATTGTATAACAGTTAAGTACAAGTTGATCCAATGTTTTAAACGTGTTTAGATCTTGCAGACAATGCTCACCTCCTTAGTGCTCCCCTTGTGAACGTATATCCATTTATCCTTATGGAAATCTGTTTGGTGGGAAGAAAATGCAAATTCGTACGTATTCAACAACCAAATGTAGAAAGCACACTTTGAGGACATCTATGAATTATGAAAACACGTGAAATGTGTACACATTCGAGAGCGCGTCCACTATCAAATGCATTAGAATTCGATGCATTCATAGCAGCGGGCAAATATTCCGTACATTGTGTCTTGGCAGTATTAAGCATGTCCTTCCGCCTTTTTTTCACAACAACTTCAAAGTCCTGTTCTTGTCCAGAGTTTTCCTTGTTTTCTTGAGACCTGTCAAAACAAGCAGAGCAATTCTGTGATCACGTTAGGCCAGACATTTTTGGCAATGTCCCTTTGTATTTATGCATGGAAATTCAGACGTGAACCGTTTATTACCTTAAAGAGTGTTAAATATTTATACTACGACCAGCTGTTTGATCCAAAAACTGTCCACTTTTAACAGGAACCATGCTTTTATTTACTATATATTTATACAATACATCCACAAGGTTTTCGAATTAATTACATTTTCGTTGTGAGCGTATTTAAAAGCCATTCAATAATTAACGGTGCAATGATGGATGTCACAATATTGAATGTGATATTATAATAAACTGAATCGTTGGAATTGGGATTGAGGGAATACATTGTTACATGTAAAAATTGTAAACACTAGTGCATTTATGATTTGCGTTGTTTAAAAAGGGCTTAACGTTGTTGTTGTTCAAGAGGAGCCAGGAATTTGCGACTATAAAACCATAACTGAAAACAAATCACACAGGATACATAGTACTCTAAAATACTGTGCTGTGTTTGGAATTAAGTGTTTAAAGACTCTATTTGTTATTGCCTTCATCATGTTATTCCTCATCAATTAGCTAAACATAGATTTTTTTTTGCGACTAAATAAAATCGTAACATTGCAAATCCCTCAAAAGCTATTAAGACGCCTCTGGCAGAAATAAAAAAAAACATTAAACCAAAACATTTATGTATTTCAACATTGAGCGCCCAACGATGCCACGCAACAACAAAAAACTTTCACCGTGACCCCTCAACGCTAGGAAACAGGGTTAGGCACCTTCTTCTTGGTTCTTTCGGTAAAGTCACATAGAATGGAAATAATAAAATAAAAATAGTTAAATAATTATATTATTTTACTACTTTTATTTTTATTATTTTTCGGTAAAGTCACGTAGAATGGAAATAATAAAATAATAAAAATAAAACATAGTAAAATAATATAATTATTTTAAAATAAAAAAACAGTAAAATAATATTATTATTTTATTATGTTTTATTTTTATTATTGCCATTCTACGGGACTTTACCGAAAGAACCAAGAAGATGAATCCCTGCAGTCACGAAAGCTTTAAATCGAGGGTTAAGCACGTATTGGTCAATGAAACCGGGACATCCAAGGCCCCCCCCCCACTCTATCTCCAGCCACCCCTCTCCTTGGCGAGAAGTCAAACCAATCGCATGAATGGCACGGCCCCCCCACCACTTCTCAGGCTTGTTACCAGGGGCTATTTCAAGGCAAGCAAGCGGTCAGGATAAACTGAAGGCGAGTTACAGTCCAAAGTTATTTATGTATTTGAGACTCGTGAAACGGTGAATCATGACTCCGCTATTTTCCCTGCAGCTTTGAATGTTTGTGGGGTGGAGCGGTGGCGCAATGGTTAGCGCACTTCCGCCGCGAGGAACGTGAACAGAGTTTGAAACCTCAACCCGCAGCGTTATCCTCCGACAGTGGATGGAGAAGGGGTTGTCACCAACTTACCTCGGATTCGTGGGCAGATGTTTGAGTGATCAATTATACTATCGTTTAATTTATCCACGAAAAAAGGTGAAGGTAAGAACATCGATACGAGCGACTATGCAAATGCAGGTCTGATGAAGCCACCGTACAGCACCGTATTCAACTCTTGTGTGTGTGCGTGCGGTTTTTTGTAATGCTGTATGCAACTTGCTACCCATGGGAAGGTTCAGCGGTAAAAAATGTAACCCGTAAAAACAAAGTTTTTCACTATAAATCCTTTATATGCGTGTTCAATGGGCCACAACCCAGCCCACATTGGTCTTTGAAACGGGCGGCTAGAGTCCTCTCGTCCTCTGGCTTGAGATGGCTGCCACCTATGGGTCAGATGATTGCCTGCCACCATTAAGCAATTGGTAATTAAATAGAATTTTTTTAACCTAAAAAGTGTAAAATTTTGGAAAAAAATTTTCACGAAAAGAAATTGTCACGCACAACGAGTCTGTGTGCAAAATGTCAGCTCGATTGGATCACGGGAAGTGGGTTAAAAAACGACAGAAAGATTTGCACGGTCGTAAGTGCGCAAGCAAGCAAGCAAGTGAACTTAAAATAAAGAATTTTCAAAAATGCAATGGCTCTCAATGGGGAGGTTACGCGAGTTCGTATCCACACACTGGGAGTCGACTCAGGCCCCTTCGCCCGTCAGGGGTCGATAAAGGGCACCTCGTCCTGAAGACTCATCCCCGCCACAGGAATGTGGAATTTCCATGACTGTTTCAGGGCTGTAAACAGGAAGCCAGTGCCATCGATGCTCAATTGAGTGGGAAGCGCTCGTGCGATTTTGGTTAATTCAACGCATCAAGTATATCAAGTGATTAACTCAATATATAAAATTGGACAACCTTATGCAAACGTATTGTCATTATTAACACTCTCTTTGCCAACACATTGGATCTGCTTTACGTTTGTTTTCTTCATCATTTTAAATTATCCTGGCATTGCTGCCTTGGGAGGGAAATATTGTGTTTTCCAGTCCATCACACATACAGTAAACACTTATACGTTGTAAGCCATTAATCATGCCGGCCAAAAAAAAAACTTTACCATTTCAACTGAACACAAAGTTTACTCTGCTGACGTTCAACACAACTCAGGAGGCACTCGTCCTCTTGCTGACGAATGACAAGTGTTATTCTCTCGCTATGGAACCCAGAGCAAAAGGCCTAATCTCATCGCCAATAAACCAAGCGTCTGATTCGCCTTGGTGGCTGCATCGGCGTCTCTGCCTATCCTCACGTGGCGCCTAGTCTTGAAGTGACTGCACGCCGCACACAATCTGTATACCATCACTGGTGGTGGTGGTGGGGGAGGGCAGACCTGTCACAGGCCTGCCCGTATATATACGAAGGACAAAAAAAAAACCCCACCGAGTTCAATGAGAGGTAACTCTAAAACGTTAACACCGCTTGTTATTGTTACGGCTTTTTTTGCATTTGCAATTACAAGGCGGCAATTGGGGGTCTTCGCGTTGAATAAATATTTGCATTCGTATCGGGGTACATTTATTTGACGAGAAAAAATTGAGTGGGGATAAAATTGACTTGCAGGCATGTTGTCCTTTTAAAGGTGGGATCTTACTCAATGCAAGTCATTTGAATGGCATTAACCTGGTGGCCACATTCTTACAATGACCTGTAGTCGGTCTGAAAGCATGAATTCCATCCGTGAACCATCTGCAGTTGATGTGGCAGTATTATGCCCTCAGGCTAGCTGATCATCGAATGGTGCTGGAATGTGGTATACATTTAAAATGCAGCGTATTGCTCAACATTCCCTATATACACAGGTGTGGGAAGGTGGGGTGGGATTGTGTGTTATTTTTCTTAAGCTAAACCCATAATGAACTATAACAGGTTAATAACAAACCAAACATTGTGCTGAGCTGTAATTCTACCAGTTCCTCACACACGCATAGTCAGTGTTTCATTAATCATTCGCAGTTCCTACAGTATTTACTTAGCCCACATTGCCTCCTCTGGATTGGGAAATAACACAGTACTTGCTACGTGTTGTGAAGCAATCGTAGACACAGTACAGTCGCAAAAATTGCATTTGTTGATGGAATCAAACCAGAAGCACATTGACTAAAGAGCAGTTGACTTGAATCTGGAATACCTATCAAATTACCACCATTTATGTTTAGCACACATGCATTGGCAACAACATGTTATTTTTCCACAGTGGTCTAAAATCGTACATGCCACTTAGACATTTTTGCTCATAAACAAAGTTGAAGAATAGCATGCTCCTAATTAACTGTACTGCGTATACCTGGCAAATGGCGAAACTGAGAGTAACGACCCGTAGATTTACAGCAACACTGATGCGATGAGACAATATGAATACATCGTGGGCCAATTACTATATTATAGTTCATGACGCACACACTGATTAATGCACGGCATATGCTGATTACATCTGCATGCCTAGTCTCGGAGACCTTAATATAACCCTAGTTGTGGCATTCCCACGAACTGGTAGTTCACATTTGTGGAATACTGTTTATGGTGTACAGTGTTGGTGTCACATACTTTCCATTAAATTTGTAAACAATTCATTTTGTGTTCTCAATGATGGTAAACACGTTTTTTTTTACTTAGAAATTGTTGTACTGTCTTGCATTGTCCATTTAAGCTATTTATACCCTCATATTACAACCCCAGGTTACTTATACAGATGACCTACATTGGCAGTTTATCTATCACCCAAGGCTACTCTGCCTGTTTCTCATCTAGTTAAACAAAATTAACTCGAACTACTTGAGGTTACCTTTACCGATAGGTTATCTATATCCCCAGGCTACGTAGAGGTTAACCGGACGATACCTGCCACTTACCTATACATGCAAGACTACTTATACAACTTACACCACCACAGGTTACCTTTGCAAATGACATTTCCTGCATGTAATTTAGATCTCCAGTCTACTCGGAGGTTACGTTTACCTATAGATTACCAATAAACCCTGGTTAGAGGTTACACAGTTCCTAATGCTAACGTATACCCCCAAGGTTACCTATACAATGTACCTATACCACAGGTTACCTTTGCAGGTTGCCTTTACCTGAATGTTACCTGCACCCCAGATTACTTGTGCATGTTAGCTGAACAAGTTACCCACGTCCATGCTACTAATATTGGATCTGTAGTTTGCTTGTAGGTTAACTTACCAACAAGATTCCAAATGCAACACGCCACCTCTACTGCGCCTAAGCTTTAGCTGGAGGTTACCACCTGTAATTTTCATCAGATACACGTGTGTGATATAGAGTACACTGTGCGTATTTAATGGTGCCGAGCACGTGTTGTTCAACGGACAAAAGTAGTTTTTACTTGCGAAGAATGTTAAATGTACAGGGATTTAACTGGACATTGAGAGCCTTTATCAGTTGTCCATCATTACTGATAATATCGTAATTGAAGTCCAGTGTAGTTTCGCGCGTCCATGACCAGGCGGAAACAGGAGAAAAATTAGTAATTAAAGTCACCGTTAGAGGGCTCGTACGACTATGACGTCATCCGCATTGGGTTCAACACAATTCCAAAATCGGAAAGGAAAAAAGCACACATCTTGTCCCTTCGCAGACACACGCACGCACACACCCCAAACGTATGTTTTACACATCTTCGTCAGCCACACGGTCTTCGAGAAGTGCACTCATTTATGATTGGTTCAAACACACGCAAATCCCGTCTCGAAAGCTGGTCAAAGACCTATGCAGGTGAGTTGTCAGATATTCTACACAAGGTAAAAAAAAAACACAATATATGGCTCTCAGTGGCGTAACTTCATAGACTGTTGTTGTCCTTCATTCACGAAGCTGAATGCCTCGTGTTTAAACCAGCGTCCCGGGGCGATGATCCAGGGCCAGGCGTGACGCATCTACTACACAGGATAGGGGGGGGGGGCTACATAGTGTTGCGCGCTGTGAATGAATTTTACATTATTAAGCAAACAAAATAACAACAACAACAACAACCAAACTCACATGAATTTAATGATGTCGTTGACTTTGTCGTGGCTGCCCCTCTTCCATCCACTGCCAGTCTTGACCCAGCTTCCGCCAGGAGAACGCCAGTCCTGACCCAAGAAAGGCATCTTTTCCCCACTTTCTCAAAAAAAAAAACTCAACAAAACCACCCGCACAAGTCAAACAGCAACAGCGAGAGAGAGAGAGCGCGAGAGAGAGATAGCGAGAGAGAAATAACAAAAAAAATAAAGGCGGTTTAAACCGAACCGCAAAAAGTGACACGCGGAATATCGTTCGTGTTCGTTGGCTCTCTCGGTCACAATTGAATGCGTTGTGCCCCCTGGGCTGACGCTCGCTCCTCTGCGCCTTTTGAAGCAGGCGAGCGAGCGAGAGAGAGGGCCCACTCCGTTGCCGGAATAACACACGTGGCAGTGACGCGCGCTTTGTTGTGATGAGTGTTTCGGTGCCGCCTTGCCATTGGGTCAACCACATTCCTCCCCTTCCACCACCACCCCCCCCCCCCCAATGCTACACCATAACCCCATACAACCGTGCGTCCGATCTCGCCTCGCGCTCTCTCTCTCTACAGCACGTGGTGGTGGTGGGGGGGGGGGAGCGGAAGGTGGTTGATGATAGTTGCTGGGGGAATTAGTGGTGGTTGTTGGGGGTTGGGTGAGTGAGTGGCGGGGGAGAGGGGGGTAGTGGAGCTGGGTGGATGGTGGGGATGGTGGTGGTATGAGTCAACCCATGGCACCTGGGGTTCTGTCCCGTGATCTCCTGCCAGGGAGCCTTCGACACTTCACCTGGCCTCAAAGTGCACCTAGCATGGCACAAGCGCCTTGATGACGTTAACGCCAATTAGTGGTGAACGGCGGTTGTTGTTGTTGTTGGTGGTAGTGAGGGATGGTGGCAGTGATGGCGATGGTAGGTGATGGTGGAGGTAGGTGATGGTGGTGGGGACGGGGGTAGAATTTTCGTATCTGCTCACGGTTAATTTGAAAGAACAATTTAGGGTTGCATTTAAATGAAGGCAAAACAAACTAAATTTGTTATATCCACATGTGACTGTACATGTACAACCAATGTTTTAGTACATCTGCATATAATCTTTGTTTTGTTCGGTAAAGTCACGTAGATATAAAAATAAAGTGAATAAAAATAATACCAAAAAAACCCACTAATGTAGACTGTAGCCTGGTTTTTAATCTGCCTATATTTGAAAACCCACACATTACCAGCACGCATACGTTGAAGCAAGCAGATTGTGGACCGCTTTCGACATTCTGGGTCTCATCATGCTGCTGCTGCTGTATTACCAGATGCCATTTGCGAGAGCACTCCTCCTCAAATGGGGGGACATCGTTCAACACAGAAAGCAATACCACACACAAACTCGTATGTTGGTACATCCTTGCCTCATACACAATGGGTGAGCGCTTGAGCAGAATGCATTGGACAATAAAATCTACTCATTCTAACATTTGTTTAAAGTTTGTTCAACATTGACTGTGTTGTGCCCCCCCCCCCGAGTTACTGAGTTATAACCCCTCCCCATTTAAACAAGATCATGCTGCCACAGATGTGCTAAATGTTACTTACCGGCTCCCACAAATTCGACACATTTTTAAACGGTGAAATGTGTTGAGGGTTACAGAAACAATCCATCATCAAGTTCTCAAAGGTAAAAAACCACAATAATCACTGAGTTGCCAATGACAGTGATGGAGAATGAGCATCGCATCTTGTCTGCAATAGTATCCGCAAATTTACCCCACTGATAACACCAGAATTGCAAATGATAGGATCAATTTTATGATTAACTCTTCATGGAACAAAAAAAAAACGTGTGGATAAGAGGAAGCATGGGTCATAAGGCTGTAGATACGGGTTTTAGTTTATTACTCATTACTAATATAACGAGGAAAATTACACGATTCGAAGGATATCCCGGAAGACATAGGATAATCCACAATAACCACATTGTTCATGAAGTTGGCTTTAGTTAGAATAGGTATAACAAGCGGATGGAAAAGTGAAATATTGAGTAAAGTGTGTGGGTACCTGTGGGAAGATGATACTACAAAAAACTAGAAAGAATGGAGTGTCAAAATGTCCCAATTAAACTAGCATGGGTAATCTTAAAATTGGAAATTAGACAATCTATTGTCCTAAAATAGAATCTACATGTATCCCTCCCTCTCCACGTATCCCTTCCTCGACACAACGTTCTGGCTACCACATGTACTCTATTTGTTATGATAACTGATGGGAAGTCTCATCAGCAGAGGAGGCTCTTGCAGGCGTGTTTTTCCGCTCGTGCATGCAAACATTATTTACAGCCCTGGGCCAGTGTACGAAATTAGACATTCCTGTGAAAGGGATGAGTTAGTGCATGAGACAATTCCGTTTTTTGTTCTCTTTTTCCATTTGTTCGTTACCCCCCCCCCATCATTTACGTTGTAATGTCAGCATCGTGTCTTGAGAATTGCATTTCTATTGGGAATGTTGGCAGCAAGCAATACTACTCTTGTTACATGTTCTTCCACCAACGCACGTAAACACGACCACAACACCCAAATCCTCAGATGCTTCAGCTGGCTCCCTCAACTGTCGGGTCCTTGGACTAACTACACGATCACCCTCACTGCCTTTAGGATCCTTCGTGAACTTGACCCTGCCTTCCCGTTTCTCATCATATCACTCCTTTGAATGTGCTCTCTGCTCCAGCAAACAACGCCTTCTATCGAAGCCCCCAGCCAGCATTCCCTTAGCAGGAGGTCACTCCTCTACTGCTGCCAATGTAGTTTGGAACCTCTCCCTCTGATCATTCGTGCTGTCAACTTCCTGCTCATGGCCTTCTCCTCCACTTAAGTCTGTCTTTTCAAAGATTTCATAGGGGAAGCCGCGCTGGCGAGATGTTAACTGCCTCGCCTGGCACACAGGAGGGTTGTGGGTTCGACCCCGACCCTGACGCCAGCATATTTGGAGTTTGCATCTTCTCCCTGTGGTCGCGTGAATTTCTCGCTGGGTCCTCTAGTTTTTCTCTCCACATCTAGAATGCCCACGTGCTTAGAGTATGTGGCTGCTATACATTTCTAAACGTCGTAGTGACTCCATTTATGTCACTACGCTTGTATAATTGGAGTTTGCATGGATTTTACTCCGGGTTCTCCGGTATTTCCCTCCACATTTAGAATCATGCGTTTGGAGTATTTGGCTGCTATTACATTTCCACATGATAAGCCACTTCGTTGAGCTATCATTTGTGGCCAGGTCGCTTCTGAAAAAGAGCTGTAGAGCTCAATGAGCCTTACCTGGTAAAATGAAAACAATTATGTATCGCTTAGTTTATTTGTTTTCATATATATATAAAATATACGCCTGCTTGTCTCCCATGCTACATGTATCCCACTATTTTGTACCGCACCTTGATAAGTGGTTGCCTCTAGGCTCATTTGAGCAGGACTTTTTTATTGACGTCTTTCTATGCCCACCAAACAGTGTTCGTCGCATGTCAATGCCACCAAAATTTGTAATTATTCGAGCTTGAAACAAGCCAAATTAAGTTCGAGGAGAACTAATTTATTGATGCAATGTGTTGTAGTCATTTGGCACCCATGCGAAGTCCATCAACTCGCTACCCTTGAGTCGGACAAGCAGTATTGAGTGGTACTCATTCTAGTGACATGTGACTGGGAGTTAAACTTGCCAACTGTGAGGCATTTTCGAGAACCACAGACCAAACCTGCGAAATTGTAAAACATAGTCGAGTAATAATTCTTCACCCTCGCAAAGCCTCAATGAGTCACCATTACGTTATCAGGAGGGACTTTTTTATCGTCAAACATTTACAAGAGCCCATATATTTATTTTCGACAATTATATTGCATATCCCTTTGTCGCATGTTATCATGAGAGGTGTTTAACCATACGTCATCACACTGGTCAGTGCCCTTTGGTCAGGCGGGCGCAGCCTAGGCCAAATCAGATATCATTGACCATCGGTGTTAGTCATGGCCAGGAATCAGGCTTAGCGCAGTACATGAACTTCATGCATCGCAGCTCCAACCCTTTCTTAGAGTAAACATACTAAAATACATTTTCATCGTTTACAGCCCCTTGTTTAGTTGTCAATTTACACAATCTGATTGCTATTGATCATTTATTTTGTGTGTATAAACCCCCATACACTGTACGGTATATAACTCTATGGAAGGCTATTATTTTTATTATTATTATATGTGTGTGTTACGAAATCGCCCCTTAGCTAAAAATGGTTCAAGAAGAGGTATAGTGTTTCACGTCATGCGTCTGTTAAGCTGACACTCCTGTGTACAGAACATTTGAGGGGTACATTTTGTTTACAGATTAAGTCCCGTGGTGGAGTCCGAGGCAACATCCCAAACTATTCGGAGGAGTTGTCAATGGAAAATTGCGTAAATCTGTTCGATAAACAGCAGGAGGAAAGCTTGCATTGAACAGGCATGTCATTTCGTTCATTAGCTTAAAAGCATTCACAGGGGGAATAAAATGTGGCCCCGTTGAGTTAGAGATGACCTTAACTGTATGCTATTTAATTTTACTGTAGGTCATGTTGAATTAGATGTGCCTTGTATTGTAGAAAAGTCTGGGCTGCATTCCAATCTGTAAACCGTGTGCCCATCTTGGAGAATGATGGACATGGGCAAATTCACTTAATTTCACAGCATGCCGCTGGATCTTGTACAATCTAGATCATTGTTGGCCAGCATTTGTCACAATCTCAAAATATGTTGGTGAAATACATGCAGCAATAACACCTTACTGGTGGTGCCTTGAGATAATATATATATTTCTCGATTTAAAGCTTTCGTCACTGCAGGGATTCATCTTCTTGGTTCTTTGGGTAAAGTCACGTAGAATGGAAATAATAAAATAATAAAAATAAAACATAATAAAATAATTCTCACGACGTTTCGGCCACAACGCAAGCAGCGTCAGACTCTGTCTCAGAGCCAGACTCTGTCTTCTCGACAGACCTGTTCTTCAACTGAGGACGGCTGCTTGAGTTGTGGCCGAAACGTCGTGAGAATTATTTATTATGTTTTATTTTTATTATTTTATTATTTCCATTCTACGTGACTTTACCGAAATAACCAAGAATATACATATTTCTTTGACTGAATAACCAAACATGAGGTGATGTGCTGCATGATATGAATTTATAAAAAAAATGTTATCTAACATTATTTGCTGTTACTCGAACATTATTTGGAGCACTGCCATCAAGCGCATGTGCTGAAAATGTGTAACCAAATGCTTCTATCACCAAGCCACTTTACTCGAAGCCACAAGCAGCTACTTCTACGAGATCGTGTTCTTGGCTGTGTGTGGATGCAGATTGAAATTGCCAATCCTTTGACTTACAACCTATTAATCCAAGGCCCGTGGCCACATTTTCACACAGCATTCCTCTTGCTCGCACTGTATGCAGTCTATCTGGC